GGTGATTGCAATCAAATATCCTACATTCCTTTCCCCTGTAAAGTAATGCACTGGGTGATTGCAATCAAATATCCTACATTCCTTTCCCCTGTAAAGTAATGCACTGGGTGATTGCAATCAAATATCCTACATTCCTTTCCCCTGTAAAGTAATGCACTGGGTGATTGCAATCAAATAATCTACAGTCCTTTCCCCTGTAAAGTAATGCACTAGATGATTGCAATCAAATAACCAACAGTCCTTTCCCCTGTAAAGAAATGCACTGGGTGATTGCAATCAAATAACCTACATTCTTTTCCCCTGTAAAGTAAAGCACTGGATGATTGCAATCAAATAACCTACATTCCTTTCCCCTGTAAAGTAAAGCACTGGATGATTGCAATCAAATAACCTACCGTCCTTTCCCCTGTAAAGTAATGCACTGGATGATTGCAATCGAATATCCTACATTCTATTCCCCTGTAAAGTAATGCACTGGATGATTGCAATCAAATAACCTACATTCCTTTCCCCTGTAAAGTAAGGCACTGGATGATTGCAATCATATAACCTACATTCCTTTCCCTTGTAAAGTAATGCACTGGATGATTGAAATAAAATATCCTACATTTCTTTCCCCTGTAAAGTAATGCACTGGATGATTGCATTCCAATAACCTACATTCCTTTCCCCTGTAAAGGAATGCACTGGATGATTGCATTCCAATATCCTACATTCCTTTCCCCTGTAAAGAAATGCACTGGATGATTGCATTCCAATAATCTAAATTCCTTTCCCCTGTAAAGAAATGCACTGGATGATTGCAATCAAATAACCTACATTCCTTTCCCCTGTAAAGTAAAGCACTGGATGATTGCAATCAAATAACCTACAGTCCTTTCCCCTGTAAAGTAATGCACTGGATGATTGCAATCAAATATCCTACAGTCCTTTCCCCTGTAAAGTAATGCACTGGATGATTGCATTCCAATATCCTACATTCCTTTCCCCTGTAAAGAAATGCCCTGGATGATTGCAATCAAATAATCTACAGTCCTTTTCCCTGTAAAGTAATGCACTGGGTGATTGCAATCAAATAACCTACATTCCTTTCCCCTGTAAAGTAATGCACTGGATGATTGCAATAAAATATCCTACATTCCTTTCCCCTGTAAAGAAATGCCCTGGATGATTGCAATAAAATATCCTACATTCCTTTCCCCTGAAAAGTAATGCACTGGATGATTGCATTCCAATATCCTACATTCTTTTCCCCTGTAAAGTAATGCACTGGATGATTGCAATCAAATAACCTACATTCCTTTCCCCTGTAAAGTAAGGCACTGGATGATTGCAATCAAATAATCTACAGTCCTTTCCCCTGTAAAGTAATGCACTGGGTGATTGCAATCAAATATCCTACATTCCTTTCCCCTGTAAAGTAATGCACTGGGTGATTGCAATCAAATAACCTACATTCCTTTCCCCTGTAAAGTAATGCACTGGATGATTGCATTCCAATATCCTACATTCCTTTCCCTCGTAAAGTAATGCACTGGATGATTGCAATGAAATATCCTACATTCCTTTCCCCTGTAAGGAAATGCCCTGTATGATTGCGATCAAATAACCTACTGTCCTTTCCCCTGTAAAGTAATGCACTGGGTGATTGCAATCAAATAACCTACATTCCTTTCCCCTGTAAAGTAATGCACTGGATGATTGCAATTAAATATCCTACATTCCTTTCCCCTGTAAAGAAATGCCCTGGATGATTGCAATAAAATATCCTACATTCCTTTCCCCTGTAAAGAAATGCCCTGGATGATTGCAATCAAATAACCTACATTCCTTTCCCCAGTAAAGTAATGCACTGGATGATTGCAAAAAAATATCCTACATTCCTTTCCCCTGTAAAGAAATGCCCTGGATGATTGCAATAAAATATCCTACATTCCTTTCCCCTGTAAAGAAATGCCCTGGATGATTGCAATCAAATAAGCTACCGTCCTTTCCCCTGTAAAGTAATGCACTGGATGATTGCAATCAAATATCCTAAAGTCCTTTCCAATGTAAAGTAATGCACTGGATGATTGCATTCCAATATCCTACATTCTTTTCCCCTGTAAAGAAATGCACTGGATGATTGCAATCAAATAACCTACATTCCTTTCCCCTGTAAAGTAATGCACTGGATGATTGTAATCAAATAACCAACAGTCCTTTCCCCTGTAAAGTAAGGCACTGGGTGATTGCAATCAAATATCCTACATTCCTTTCCCCTGTAAAGTAATGCACTGGGTGATTGCAATCAAATAACCTACATTCCTTTCCCCTGTAAAGTAATGCACTGGATGATTGCAATCAAATATCCTACATTCCTTTCCCCTGTAAAGTAATGCACTGGGTGATTGCAATCAAATATCCTACATTCCTTTCCCCTGTAAAGTAATGCACTGGATGATTGCAATCAAATAACCTACATTCCTTTCCCCTGTAAAGTAATGCACTGGATGATTGCATTCCAATATCCTACATTCCTTTCCCTCGTAAAGTAATGCACTGGATGATTGCAATAAAATATCCTACATTCCTTTCCCCTGTAAAGAAATGCCCTGTATGATTGCAATCCAATAACCTACTGTCCTTTCCCCTGTAAAGTAATGCACTGGATGATTGCAATCAAATAACCTAGTCCTTTCCCCTGTAAAGTAATGCACTGGATGATTGCAATAAAATATCCTACATTCCTTTCCCCTGTAAAGAAATGCCCTGTATGATTGCAATCCAATAACCTACTGTCCTTTCCCCTGTAAAGTAATGCACTGGATGATTGCATTCCAATAACCTACTGTCCTTTCCCCTGTAAAGTAATGCACTGGATGATTGCAATCAAATAACCTAGTCCTTTCCCCTGTAAAGTAATGCCCTGTATGATTGCATTCCAATAACCTACATTCCTTTCCCCTGTAAAGTAATGCACGGTATGATTGCATTCCAATATCCTACATTCCTTTCCCCTGTAAAGTAAGGCACTAGATGATTGCAATCAAATAATCTACAGTCCTTTTCCCTGTAAAGTAATGCACTGGGTGATTGCAATCAAATAACCAACAGTCCTTTCCCCTGTAAAGTAATGCACTAGATGATTGCAATCAAATATCCTACATTCCTTTCCCCTGTAAAGTAATGCACTGGGTGATTGTAATCAAATAACCTACATTCCTTTCCCCTGTAAAGTAATGCACTGGATGATTGCATTCCAATATCCAACAGTCCTTTCCCCTGTAAAGTAATGCACTGGATGATTGCAATAAAATATCCTACATTCCTTTCCCCTGTAAAGAAATGCCCTGGATGATTGCAATCAAATAACCTACCGTCCTTTCCCCTGTAAAGTAATGCACTGGATGATTGCAATCAAATATCCTACAGTCCTTTCCCCTGTAAAGTAATGCACTGGGTGATTGCATTCCAATAACCTACATTCCTTTCCCCTGTAAAGTAATGCACGGTATGATTGCATTCCAATATCCTACATTCCTTTCCCCTGTAAAGTAAGGCACTAGATGATTGCAATCAAATAATCTACAGTCCTTTTCCCTGTAAAGTAATGCACTGGGTGATTACAATCAAATAACCAACAGTCCTTTCCCCTGTAAAGTAATGCACTGGGTGATTGCAATCAAATAACCAACAGTCCTTTCCCCTGTAAAGTAATGCCCTGTATGATTGCAATCAAATAACCAACAGTCCTTTCCCCTGTAAAGTAATGCACTGGGTGATTGCAATCAAATAACCAACAGTCCTTTCCCCTGTAAAGTAATGCACTAGATGATTGCAATCAAATATCCTACATTCCTTTCCCCTGTAAAGTAATGCCCTGTATGATTGCAATCAAATAACCAACAGTCCTTTCCCCTGTAAAGTAATGCACTAGATGATTGCAATCAAATATCCTACATTCCTTTCCCCTGTAAAGTAATGCACTGGATGATTGCATTCCAATATCCTACATTCCTTTCCCCTGTTAAGTAATGCACTGGATGATTGCAATAAAATATCCTACATTCCTTTCCCCTGTAAAGAAATGCACTGGATGATTGCATTCCAATATCCTACATTTCTTTCCCCTGTAAAGTAATGCATTGGATGATTGGAATCAAATAACCTACAGTCCTTTTCCCTGTAAAGTAATGCACTGGATGATTGTAATCAAATAACCTACATTCCTTTCCCCTGTAAAGTAATGCACTGGATGATTGCAATCAAATAACCTACATTCCTTTCCCCTGTAAAGTAAAGCACTGGATGATTGCAATCAAATAACCTACATTCCTTTCCCCTGTAAAGTAATGCACTGGATGATTGCAATCAAATAACCTACATTCCTTTCCCCTGTTAAGTAATGCACTGGATGATTGTAATCAAATAACCTACATTCCTTTCCCCTGTAAAGTAATGCACTGGATGATTGCATTTCAATATCCTACATTCCTTTCCCCTGTAAAGTAATGCACTGGATGATTGCAATCAAAAAACCTACATTCCTTTCCCCTGTAAAGTAATGCACTGGATGATTGCATTCCAATATCCTACATTTCTTTCCGCACTGGATGATTGCATTCCAATAACCTACATTCCTTTCCCCTGTAAAGTAAGGCACTGGATGATTGCAATAAAATATACTACATTCCTTTCCCCTGTAAAGTAATGCACTGGATGATTGCATTCCAATATCCTACATTCCTTTCGTCTGTAAAGTAATGCACTGGATGATTGCAATAAAATATCCTACATTCCTTTCCCCTGTAAAGAAATGCACTGGATGATTGCAATCAAATATCCTACATTCCTTTCCCCTGTAAAGTAATGCACTGGATGATTGCAATCAAATAACCAACAGTCCTTTCCCCTGTAAAGTAATGCACTGGATGATTGCAATCAAATAACCAACAGTCCTTTCCCCTGTAAAGAAATGCACTGGATGATTGCAATTGCCAAAATAATCAAGTCAAACATTGTTCATTCGTGGATTTCTTTATTAAACAAGTACATTTTTGTCATTATACTTAAACTTATTTTCCAAATATTATACCATGAAATATGATTCTCTCATTCTTCCCAAAATAATTAAAAATGATTAAATTCAGTTACCCTATAAAGGTTTCACAAAACAAAATTATTACAAATGAGCTACGATCTACCGAATAAATGGTATCATCCTATTACAATATCCTTTAAAAAAATGCTATAAAAATATATAAGAATCTTTCCTGAATTTTCCACAATGTGTTTAATTGCCAAATACTCATTCACATCTATCAGGGTGTGCCCATTGGTCTAAAACTTTTCCTATCTTCAATTTGATTGGATCTGTGGCAGCACATAGTTCTTTTACAACACTCTAAAAATAGAAATAAGAGAAGAAAATGTGAATTCATGAGGAAACACTATTCAGATGTACAAACAATTAAGATAGCTGGCCATTCCTGAATGATAAGAAAGCAGAAGCCAGAAGATAAGGCCATGGTCAGATGAACCCTGTCAGGCAGACATGTATGCCTTACAAAACAATATATTAACATATACACCATGTACACAATTATTCCAAACACTCAACATATTTGAACTATTACTTGTAGTATATGAGTTGTAATACCAGTATATATTACTACTGATAAAATGAAAATAAAAGAAGAATGTGTCTGAGGACACAAATGCCCCCACTCAAGCTTTGCAATTTTTCAAGTTAAAAAGGAGCATAACTCAAGAATGGTATATGACTTACTGTCTAAATTCGAACTCTGTCTGCGTGTTGTGGTTCTTAGCATTGTGTATGAGTTTTATAAAATTTGGATGAGTCAAACTTAAGTTACAGTGTGCAAAGGAAAAAAATTTGCAATTTTCCAAGTTATATAGGGACATAACTCTAGAACTGTAAGTGACTCACTGCCCAAATTCAAACTCTGTCTGCAAGTTTTGGTTCTTGGCATTGTGTATAAGTTTCATAAAATTTGGATGAAGAAAACTTAAATTAGAGTGCAGAAACGAAAATGGGACTGACGAAAAGATGGAAGGACGGTCAGGGGTAACACTTAATGCCCCCATTGCCTACAGCAGGGCCATAAAAAAATCATGTTATCAAAACTACCAAATTCAAACAATAACTACATTTAACTTCATATGAATTATCAAACTTTTCTACCTTGTGAAATATGAACCTTTATACGAATAGCTTATCCTGCCACTGTCCACAAAATAAGCATCCCTATGGCTTGCATTCTCCAACATTCATCTGACACAGGTTAGTGAAAAATGAATTACAAATCTTTTTTTATAAGATAGTAAGCCTTCATATTAGGTAAGTGCATTATAATTTGATTACATATATGTTTCATAAGAATCTGTAATTTTGATTGGCAGACAAGTCTATCGAGGTACATTTATTCCAAAATTATGTTTTGATCCTCAATAAAATACCGGCTCCTCGGTGGCCAAGTGGTCTAAGTAGTCGAACAACTATATCACTAGCCTGTCAACACTGAGGTTGTGAGTTCAAATCCCGTAAGGGCAGGTGCACTCGACTCCAACCTTAATTGACTAGGATTGTCAGTTTTCCTACCAAAGGTCGTGGTTCTCTCTGGGCACTCTTGCTTCCTCCATCAATAAAAACTGACGGCCACGAAATAGCCAATCAATCAATCAATAAAATACCAAATCTATGACTGAAAATAATGTCCATGACAACATGGGAAACAGATGACCTGTCGATGTTCTAATTCAAACCTATCAATTTATAGTTTTCTTTGCAACTAAATGACATTTGTTTCTGTATGTTGAGTGCAAAAAACAGCAAATTTGGCAAATTTCCATTTATAAAAGGACATAAATAAGAACATTGAAATTGACGTCAGAACATTTGGTTGTGGCAAAGTAAAGTTAGCGTGCAGAAACAGCAAATTCAGCAATTTTTATCATTTATAATGGGATGCTGAAAGTGACACCACACAAATTTCAAACTTGATCTGTGTTTGGTGGAAATAAGCATTATGTATAAGTTTTACCTATATCAAAATTTGGTTGAGGCAATCAAAAGTAAGAGAACGTAAACAAACAAGGGTAAACCTTAATGCATCCTTTGATTAGCTGCTGGGGCATAAAAAACAAAAATCATTAACAACATATTATAATGTGAAAAGCACTAGTTTAACATTTCATAGTTATGGCATGGAAACAGCATAAAGTGACATTTTCCAATCAATCAAGGACCGTTACTCCTGAACCGCAAAAGTGAAAATCATCAATGTGAAACTTGACCTCTAATTTGTCATCAGTAACAACATGTTAAAATTTAAAAAGCATTGGTCAAACAGTTCATAAGTTAACGAACAGAAATAGCCAGAGCCGCCACCCTGGTCACCAACCTGTCCTCTAACCCCAAATCAATAACTGTATATATGTTTTTAAACTTACATCAGGTAATGTAGGTATTTCTGTATTATCTACAATCTGTTCAGGTGAGCTAGCTCCCACTATATATGACTGTACATTTTCCTGTTGTACTAACCATGCTAAAGATGCTTTGGCCATGGTCACATTGGCTCTCTTACATATATCTCTTATCTTATCTAAAGCCTGAAACAAGATTTACACTCATAACAACAGAGCACATTAAAGTGATGGACATAGATGATAGTACTAGAGTTTGTAAGAGATTTGCAGCTTTGATAAAAAGGGACACTCCTTATTGTTACAGAATGGCGATTAAAACACTGTTTTTAAAATCAGTCTTTTATATTTCTGGTTTTTGCAATTAAAAAATTTAAAAGCTCAAGTAGAATAAATTTATGATGGAATGCTATACTACTGTCCTTTTCATGAAGTTCAGGAATTTTCAATGTTTTGCAAGGTAAGATACATTACTTGTACTGTTTTTTTTAAATTTCATATGCTTTGTCGGAGTGTGGAACCATAATTGTAACAAAAGAATCCATTGGTAAGGAATGTGCTTTAATTGTAAAGTTTTCAAATTGTAATGATTGACGTGTGCTTCTTAATTATAATTATGGACTTGTGCTTCTTTATTGTAATGATAGACTTGTACTTCTTTATTGTAATGATAGACTTGTACTTCTTTATTGTAATGACAGACTTGTTCTTCTTTATTGTAATGATAGACATGTTTTATTGTAATGATAGACTTGTACTTCTTTATTGTAATGATAGACTTGTGCTTCTTAATTGTATGATAGACTTGTACTTCTTTATTGTAATGATAGACATGTTTTATTGTAATGATAGACTTGTACTTCTTTATTGTAATGATAGACTTGTACTTCTTTATTGTAATGACAGACTTGTACTTCTTTATTGTAATGCTAGACATGTTTTATTGTAATGATAGACCTGTGCTTCTTTATTGTAATCACAGACTTGTACTTCTTTATTGTAATGATAGACTTGTACTTCTTTATTGTAATGATAGACTTGTACTTCTTTATTGTAATGATAGACATGTTTTATTGTAATGATAGACATGTTTTATTGTAATGATAGACCTGTGCTTCTTTATTGTAATCACAGACTTGTGCTTCTTTATTGTAATGATAGACCTGTGCTTCTTTATTGTAATCACAGACTTGTACTTGTTTATTGTAATGATAGACTTGTACTTCTTTATTGTTATGATAGACTTGTACTTCTTTATTGTAATGATAGACTTGTACTTCTTTATTGTAATGATATACATGTTTTATTGTAATGATAGACCTGTGCTTCTTTATTGTAATCACAGACTTGTACTTCTTTATTGTAATGATAGACTTGTACTTCTTTATTGTTATGATAGACGTGTGCTTCGTTATTGTAATGATAGACTTGTGCTTCTTTAATGTAATGATAGACTTGTGCTACTTTATCGTAATGATAGAAGTGTGCTTCTTTATTGTAATGATGGACTTGTGCTTCTTTATTGTAATGATGGACTTGTGCTTCTTTATTGTAATGATAGACTTGTGCTTCTTAATTGTAATGATGGACTTGTACTTCTTTATTGTAATGATGGACTTTTACTTCTTTATTGTAATGATAGACTTGCTCTTCTTTATTGTAATGATGGACTTGAACTTCTTTATTGTAATGATGGACTTGTACTTCTTTATTGTAATGATAGACTTGTACTTTATTGTAATGATAGACTTGTCCTTCTTAATTGTAATGATGGACTTGTACTTCTTTATTGTAATGATGGACTTTTACTTCTTTATTGTAATGATAGACTTGTTCTTCTTTTTTGCAATGATGCACTTGTATTTCTTTATTGTAATGATAGACTTGTTCTTCTTTTTTGCAATGATGCACTTGTTCTTCTTTATTGTAATGATAGACTTGTGGTTCTTTTTTGCAATGATGCACTTGTTCTTCTTTATTGTATGTAGTTCTAAATACTGACATGTCTTCATTTGCTCTTCAATATATTCACTTTTGGTTGATTTTAGTTTTTAGCCATGTTTTTGTCAGTTTGTTTTCGACTTATGATTTTGAATGTCCCTTTGGTATATTTTGCCTCTCTTTTACATAAGTGAAAACCTATAAATGAATTGTTACATTTTAATAACTATCCTTGGTCTGCTATCAAACCGAAAAAAAAATAAACAAAGTATATCTTTTTCAGAACTGTATAAAGTTTACAGCATTTTTATGCCCCCTTTATGTTGGGGGGCATATTGTTTTACATCTGTCCGTCCGTCCGTCCGTTCGTCCATCCGTCCCAATATGGATATATAGTTATTCCAGATAACTCCTCCTACAGTTTGAATGCTAGGAAGTTTTCTTTGCTGGCTGTTTGTACATATATTGAAGGTGTGCATGTGGTCAGGGTTTTGATTTTTATTAATATTTGCTCTTTTGGGAGATAGATGAACCTTGTCATTTTTTGGAGTATTTACTTGCATAAGAGGTGTATAGCGTTTCGGCATAACTCCTCCTACAGTTTGAATGCTAGGAAGTTTTCACTTTGCTGGCTTTTTGTACATATATTGAAGGTGTGCATGTGGTCAGGGTTTTGATTTTTATTAATATTTGCTCTTTTGGGAGATAGTTGAACTTTGTCATATTTGGAGTATATACTTGCATAAGAGGTGCATAGCGTTTCGGGATAACTCCTCCTACAGTGAACCATAGACCTATGTGCTCTCATGCTCAACTTTGTGTATTTTAAAATAACACTTCGCATCTGCCGGGGGATCATTTGTCTCCCATACACAATAATATCTCAAAGAAAGTCTCACATTGACTTTATGATACAGTTACTGTAGAGTGGGGTGCAGGGGGCATACTTTGTATAGTTTATAATTCAAATCTCATTTATGTCAGAAACAAATACGCTGTATTGAGGATCTGCTTTAAATTTAGTGTGTGTTTCCTTATGGCATAATTTTCTCTATATCAAATGTTTCTCATTAAGACATTTTAAAGGATTACCTCAAACACTTCCTTTTCTGCTCCTGGTTGACCATGTCTAGATATATCACAACTGTAACAAATATAACAAGGATATTTCAATTAAAGTCTAGATAGTACTACTGGTATTGAAAAGATTGGATGTATTAAAGTACTGTAAATTCAAAAATTATTGCAAGGTTTTTATGAATGAGAATAATGCGACTGGGTAAGTATTGCAATAATTAGAACTCGCATTCTGATATCTGATACATACATCTGTATGCAGATTTACCGGAAATCACAATGATTAATCTTGCATTTTTTTTCCATTCTTCAAAAATCACAATAATAAATGCACGCAATAATTTCTGAATTTACAGAAATGTAAGGTGTTTCAAAAATTGTGAATAATAAACAGGACGAAGACAAGGTCAACATTCTAAATTTATAAATTATAAAAATTTGTAAGGGTTCCACGGAACCCAGTGTCTCGCCTACTTTTGCTGTTACTCGCAGGCTCAACAAAAATGAGGAAAAAAATTAATAAAAATATTCCTCTCTATACTATCTTTTGATTGTAAGTAGCTTCTGTCCAAGTTTGATAAAAATCCAGGATAGTTTATGAATCTAATAAATGTTTTAAAAACTTAAACTGCAGACTGTTTGTTATGTTAACTGGAAGAAAAACTAAGTCCATTTATAAGTAAAATACGGAAAAAATGGAACAAAATTTTAACAAAATTTCCTTCTAGATACTAGCTTTTAATCATAAACAAGCTTCTGTTCAAGTTTGGTACAAATGCAGGATAGTTTAAGAAAGTAGTTAAAATTTTAAAAACTTTAACCACAGAGTGAATGTAATGTTAACTGGAAGAAAAACTAAGTCCATTTATAAGTAAAATACGGAAAAAATGGAATTTTTTTTTTACAAAATTTACTTTTGAATATTATCTTATGATCATAAACAAGCTTCTGTCCAAGTTTGGTAGAAATCCAGGATAGTATAAGAAAGTTATTAAAATTTCAAAAACTTTAACCACAGAGTGAATATTTGTGGACGCTGCCGACGACGACAACGACGGAATGTAGGATCACTATGTCTCGCTTTTTCGACAAAAGTCGAAGGCTCAACAAAAACAAGTTTAGCATTACAAAAAGCAAAATAAATAATAACAACATTACAACAGAACTATGTAATAAAGATTATATGAAGGTTTTCTTCAAGTCCACTTGCTAATGTTGGAGAAGACTATGTGACAAAATGTTGGCTTCAATACTAGAAGAATTGGCAAGGTCTTTCTGTTTGATATAAGAACACTAATCCATTGTTAAAATAAAATAAAATAGGATGGTCAACTTTATGCTACGTTTGTATTTTATCATAAAATTGAGAATGGAAATGGGGAATGTGTCAAAGAGACAACAACCCGACCACAGAACAGACAACAGCATTTATGACTGTTCAGTAAACTATTTATTGTGAAGAAGCTATTACAGGTGTATTTACCCATATAGAAAAGTCCATGTTACAAAATGTGATAACTCCACCCTTATCCTGCTACAAACACAAATCTTTTAGTTTAATGTTTTTGTTGAATATATAGATTTGCTGTCTACACATAACTAACTGTACAATCAAGGGAAATTTAATGTGATGTCTGTTTTCAGTATTAAAGTAAAACAAATCAACGAAAATCTGAAAAAATAATGCACCATTGTTTTAGCCATTCAATTACCTACAGGGTATAACACAATGTTTACTGTTTGATATATAAATTTTCATCGAATATTCAGTTCTTTGCAAACATTTAATAATTGTAAGGTTTAGACATCTTTATTCCAGATTTATTCTAGGATCCTTTGTACTATAGAACAGCACAAATAGTAAGTTCTATCAATTCTATAAAATTGTAGTCTGGTGCAGTGATTTTTGTGTTTGCAAATTTTCACTGTTTTAATTACACTGAGGCTAATTAGGGATACTGACTAATTTTCCTATATATATGTCCTTTTTTCTTCATGATTTCATATACATGACACTTCTTCAAAAGTAATAGGACAATATACAGGTATAATAGTTTATAAGAATGAATAAGCAGGAACTAGGAAATCGCAACTTATATGATAGCTGTCGATCATAATTCATAAATCTTAAATATGTATTTCTGCTTTTCTTTTTATATTTTAAACTACAAATGTTTATTGTAGCCATTAGAAACAGGTTCTCAGGATGATAAGACATTATAATGATAATAATTTTCAAAAGATAAATCACATTATTACATTGGTTACAATGAATTACCGTGATTTCCCAGTGAAATAAAACCTAATTTCACATTTGAAATAAATCTGATAATTTCACTCCTCTGATGTCATACAACAATGGGTGTTGTCAAAACATTGTCGATGAGTTTGCATCAAAACAATTAAGAATGCATAGACAAAGATATAGTTCCTTTCATTTTCTATTTTATTCCCATTAAAAAGTCCATGGTCAATGTAATAATAAGAATAACTAATCCAAGAATTAAAATATCGAAAAATATTCAACTCGTGACTGAACAGCACTGATAACTAATTCATACGCTACACGCATTTGTGAATTGAAGTGTTGCTACGTCATCGATGACATTTTTTCTATACATGTATTTGAATTCTGGATTAGTTATTCTATAAATATTTAGTTAAAAAACTCAAAAAAATACTTCTAATAAAATCTTGTTGAAAATACTCAAGAGAATAATACTTCAAATAAAATCTTGTTGAAAAAACTCAAGAGAATACTTCAAATAAAATCTTGTTGAAAAAACTCAAGAGAATACTTCTAATAAAATCGTGTTGACAAATCCATTTGATACCCACCTTTCTTTTGAGAAAAGTTTTCCTCTCTTCCTTCCTACAGGAACATCTTCAGGTTTAGCAAATCTTCCTGATAGTAATCCTTGTTGTAAGGGTGAGTAGGCCAGAATACCAACACCGTTCTCTTTACAGATTGGTAGTACCTCAAATTCAGCTGATCTCCATAACAAGTTGTAACCCATCTGTTAGTAGACATTTAACATGTTTGATATCAATTATATACTGGTGTTTAGGCCAAGCTTAAAAATATTTCAGTTTGCCCTTACCCCACTCATCAGTTAGACACATAGGTAAGTAGGTATTCTTTCATTTAATATCAATTATACACTGGTGTTTATCTTTCATTTAAAGAATATCTGGTCAGACAGAAGTTCTTGTTGAGTAGTAATTTTTGATATCATACTTTATTTGTTACATAACTGCATGGAGATGTATTAATCAAATATGTAGAATTTAAGATTGACATGCCATCTTCCAATTACATGATTTATATTAAAGTCATATGAAACTTCAAATTTAAAAAAAAAGTTGAATATGTTTCATATACTTGAATATTTTACTATAAAACAAGTGTACGTGAACTTTCTTGTAAAAGAAAATCATTTGTATTATCAAAATCTTCATAAATGTACTGCTGTTGAATTATTGTCTTCCTGTACACTAATTTGCCGATATTTTCCTGTATGCAGTGACCTTAACTACAAGACTTCTCGTTAGAACTTCGGCCACGGCACAGCACAAGTGCGAGGGGAAAACCGTGATGAAAGAATATAAACAAACGTGCACTGGAAGGTAAATAGTAATAACTGATTCTTAAAGAACAAATTTAATACAACAAATCATTTAACAATGGTTAAGGAAAAGTTTAATTAACAAATGGGTACTCATGGAAAATATAAAAAAACAAATATCATGGCTCTTTCAATTCACTTATTTGTCACGAGTTCCGCGGGCTCTGTGTTGATTGTTTATCATTGTCACAATCCGGTAAACTTATGCAACAAACTCGAAAGTTAATTAGCTTGCGATCAACAATCACTGAATGAAATATTATTTGTCAATAATACGTTATAGATTCGTAATAAATATAAACGTGTATACAGGACTTGCATATAAACATGCATTGTTCCAATATTTTGACAACATTAAAATAACAACAAACTTGTATCATATGACTTTAAAATAAATTTTTATGACCCCTTTTTGGCCCCAAAATATAGAATTTTTACCAATATGTTAAAATATAAACTTTTAGCTATTTATTGGAAAATAGAATACTTCTGTTCCATAAATATGGGCTATTTTTGACATGACAATGCACATGCAGCAGGTAATAGCATCATAAATTCATGCAATATTACTGAAATCTTCACAATTTTAGCATTTGTGCTAATTTTAAGACGGTTTTTGTCTAAAATGGAAGTGGTTGCATTTGTGTTCAGTCTTAATATTTAAATATATGTTGTATTTGATGATAATACATAGCATATATAAAGATTGAGACTGAACACGAATGCGGCCACTTCCATTTTAGACAAAAACCATCTGAAAAATGACGTTTTATGGCATATTTGATAGAATTTGCATATTTAAGCGTGAATTTGAGCTTCTCTAATGACCAAATCAGTTCAAATCTTTTACATAAACTAATTGAATCGACTAAAGTAGACACTTAAGTGTTTAAAAAATGTCAAAAATATTTCATTAGATGTACTTTGAATATTAGGCCAAAACTAGCCCTTACCGGACCTTCTCCTTTAGATATATCCTTGAAAAAATATTTCTGAAGACAATTATGAGTTCTTTAAGTTTTATTTAAACATTTATCTTACCTGGTTAGTGACAGGTTTACCACCAGCCTCCAGTAATTGTTTCATATTCTTAGGACCATAGTTTGATACTCCGTAATAACGAATCCTTCCTAAAGCCACCTGTCTCTCCAATTCCTTAACACCAGCTGCAGGGTCAGACATAAAACTAGGAAAATGAACCTGAATTTCAAATATTATAAAGGTAAAATATATATTTTATAAACAAGGAACATATCTGTTAAGATTAACACATCTCACCAGACACTTCCCTTTCAATTACATTTATCTACCATTCATTAAATTCTTAATTGCTAAACTTGACATATGAACATATTAATTCAGAATCGTAAGATCTCATGGAATCTACTCTTCATTATTTTCTTTAAAATGTAAAGTGTTTTAAGTTATTGTAGACTTAACCTATATATTTTTTCCAATTAGTTTGTTTCTTGTTAACATAATCATTTCCTGCATTTTATTCTGGTAGACTCTGTTTCTAGTTTTCATGGAGATTCCTGCAGTTATATATTCAGGTAGACTGTTTCTTGTTTACGAATAATATTTCTAGTTTCTAGTGTACATTAATACCTGCAGTAAATCTAGGTAGTCTGTTTCTAGTGTACATTAATACCTGCAATAAATCTAGGTAGTCTGTTTCTAGTGTACATTAAAACCTGCAATAAATCTAGGTAGTCTCTAGTGTACATTAATACCTGCAGTAAATCTAGGTAGTCTGTTTCTAGTGTACATTAATACCTGCAGTAAATCTAGGTAAATCTAGGTAGTCTGTTTCTAGTGTACATTAATACCTGCAGTAAATCTAGGTAAATCTAGGTAGTCTGTTTCTAGTGTACATTAATACCTGCAATAAATCTAGGTAGTCTTGTTTCTAGTGTACATTACTACCTGCAATAAATCTAGGTAGTCTGTTTCTAGTGTACATTAATACCTGCAGTAAATCTAGGTAGTCTGTTTCTAGTGTACATTAAAACCTGCAGTAAATCTAGGTAGTCTCTAGTGTACATTAATACCTGCAGTAAATCTAGGTAGTCTGTTTCTAGTGTAAATTAATACCTGCAGTAAATCTAGGTAGTCTGTTTCCAGTGTACATTACTACCTGCAGTAAATCTAGGTAGTCTTGTTTCTAGTGTACATTAATACCTGCAGTAAATCTAGGTAGTCTCTAGTGTACATTAATACCTGCAATAAATCTAGGTAGTCTGTTTCTAGTGTACATTAATACCTGCAGTAAATCTAGGTAGTCTGTTTCTAGTGTACATTAATACCTGCAATAAATCTAGGTAGTCTGTTTCTAGTGTACATTAAAACCTGCAATAAATCTAGGTAGTCTCTAGTGTACATTAATACCTGCAGTAAATCTAGGTAGTCTGTTTCTAGTGTACATTAATACCTGCAATAAATCTAGGTAAATCTAGGTAGTCTGTTTCTAGTGTACATTAATACCAGCAGTAAATCTAGGTAAATCTAGGTAGTCTGTTTTTAGTGTACATTACTACCTGCAATAAATCTAGGTAGTCTGTTTCTAGTGTACATTAATACCTGCAGTAAATCTAGGTAGTCTGTTTCTAGTGTACATTACTACCTGCAATAAATCTAGGTAGTCTGTTTCTAGTGTACATTACTACCTGCAATAAATCTAGGTAGTCTGTTTCTAGTGTACATTAATACCTGCAATAAATCTAGGTAGTCTGTTTCTAGTGTACATTACTACCTGCAGTAAATCTAGGTAGTCTTGTTTCTAGTGTACATTAATACCTGCAGTAAATCTAGGTAAATCTAGGTAGTCTGTTTCTAGTGTACATTACTACCTGCAATAAATCTAGGTAGTATGTTTCTAGTGTACATTACTACCTGCAATAAATCTAGGTAGTCTGTTTCTAGTGTACATTAATACCTGCAGTAAATCTAGGTAGTCTGTTTCTAGTGTACATTACTACCTGCAGTAAATCTAGGTAGTCTGTTTCTAGTGTACATTACTACCTGCAGTAAATCTAGGTAGTCTGTTTCTAGTGTACATTAATACCAGCAGTAAATCTAGGTAGTCTGTTTTTAGTGTACATTACTACCTGCAATAAATCTAGGTAGTCTGTTTCTAGTGTACATTAATACCTGCAGTAAATCTAGGTAGTCTGTTTCTAGTGTACATTACTACCTGCAATAAATCTAGGTAGTCTGTTTCTAGTGTACATTACTACCTGCAATAAATCTAGGTAGTCTGTTTCTAGTGTACATTAATACCTGCAATAAATCTAGGTAGTCTGTTTCTAGTGTACATTACTACCTGCAGTAAATCTAGGTAGTCTTGTTTCTAGTGTACATTAATACCTGCAGTAAATCTAGGTAAATCTAGGTAGTCTGTTTCTAGTGTACATTACTACCTGCAATAAATCTAGGTAGTATGTTTCTAGTGTACATTACTACCTGCAATAAATCTAGGTAGTCTGTTTCTAGTGTACATTAATACCTGCAGTAAATCTAGGTAGTCTGTTTCTAGTGTACATTACTACCTGCAGTAAATCTAGGTAGTCTGTTTCTAGTGTACATTACTACCTGCAGTAAATCTAGGTAGTCTGTTTCTAGTGTACATTAATACCTGCAGTAAATCTAGGTAGTCTTGTCTCTAGTGTACATTAATACCTGCAGTAAATCTAGGTAAATCTAGGTAGTCTGTTTCTAGTGTACATTAATACCTGCAGTAAATCTAGGTAGTCTTGTTTCTAGTGTACATTAATACCTGCAGTAAATCTAGGTAAATCTAGGTAGTCTGTTTCTAATGTACATTAATACCTGCAGTAAATCTAGGTAGACTGTTTCTAGTGTACATTAATACCTGCAGTAAATCTAGGTAGTCTGTTTCTAGTGTATATTAATACCTGCAGTAAATCTAGGTAGTCTGTTTCTAGTGTACATTAATACCTGCAGTAAATCTAGGTAGTCTTGTCTCTAGTGTACATTAATACCTGCAGTAAATCTAGGTAGTCTGTTTCTAGTGTACATTAATACCTGCAATAAATCTAGGTTGTCTCTAGTGTACATTAATACCTGCAGTAAATCTAGGTAGTCTGTTTCTAGTGTACATTAATACCTGCAATAAATCTAGGTTGTCTCTAGTGTACATTAATACCTGCAGTAAATCTAGGTAGTCTGTTTCTAGTGTACATTAATACCTGCAATAAATCTAGGTAGTCTGTTTCTAGTGTACATTAATACCTGCAGTAAATCTAGGTAGTCTGTTTCTAGTGTACATTAATACCTGCAGTAAATCTAGGTAGTCTGTTTCTAGTGTACATTAAAACCTGCAATAAATCTAGGTAGTCTCTAGTGTACATTAATACCTGCAGTAAATCTAGGTAGTCTGTTTCTAGTGTACATTAATACCTGCAATAAATCTAGGTAGTCTCCAGTGTACATTAATACCTGCAGTAAATCTAGGTAGTCTGTTTCTAGTGTACATTAATACCTGCAATAAATCTAGGTAGTCTGTTTCTAGTGTACATTAATACCTGCAATAAATCTAGGTAGTATGTTTCTAGTGTACATTACTACCTGCAATAAATCTAGGTAGTCTGTTTCTAGTGTACATTAATACCTGCAATAAATCTAGGTAGTCTGTTTTTAGTGTACATTAATACCTGCAGTAAATCTAGGTAGTCTGTTTCTAGTGTACATTAATACCTGCAATAAATCTAGGTAGTCTCTAGTGTACATTAATACCTGCAGTAAATCTAGGTAGTCTGTTTCTAGTGTACATTAATACCTGCAATAAATCTAGGTAGTCTGTTTCTAGTGTACATTACTACCTGCAGTAAATCTAGGTAGTCTGTTTCTAGTGTACATTAATACCTGCAGTAAATCTAGGTAAATCTAGGTAGTCTGTTTCTAGTGTACATTAATACCTGCAGTAAATCTAGGTAGTCTGTTTCTAGTGTACATTAATACCTGCAATAAATCTAGGAGTCTGTTTCTAGTGTACATTAATACCTGCAGTAAATCTAGGTAGTCTGTTTCTAGTGTACATTACTACCTGCAATAAATCTAGGTAGTCTGTTTCTAGTGTATATTACTACCTGCAATAAATCTAGGTAGTCTGTTTCTAGTGTACATTACTACCTGCAATAAATCTAGGTAGTCTGTTTCTAGTGTACATTACTACCTGCAGTAAATCTAGGTAGTCTCTAGTGTACATTAATACCTGCAGTAAATCTAGGTAGTCTTGTTTCTAGTGTACATTAATACCTGCAGTAAATCTAGGTAGTCTGTTTCTAGTGTACATTAATACCTGCAGTAAATCTAGGTAGTCTGTTTCTAGTGTACATTAAGTGTACATTAATACCTGCAGTAAATCTAGGTAGTCTTGTTTCTAGTGTACATTAATACCTGCAGTAAATCTAGGTAGTCTGTTTCTAGTGTACATTAATACCTGCAGTAAATCTAGGTAGTCTGTTTCTAGTGTACATTAATACCTGCAATAAATCTAGGTAGTCTCTAGTGTACATTAATACCTGCAGTAAATCTAGGTAGTCTGTTTCTAGTGTACATTAATACCTGCAGTAAATCTAGGTTGTCTGTTTCTAGTGTACATTTATACCTGCAGTAAATCTAGGTAGTCTCTAGTGTACATTAATACCTGCAGTAAATCTAGGTAGTCTGTTTCTAGTGTACATTAATACCTGCAATAAATCTAGGTAGTCTCTAGTGTACATTAATACCTGCAGTAAATCTAGGTAGTCTGTTTCCAGTGTACATTAATACCTGCAGTAAATCTAGGTAGTCTGTTTCTAGTGTACATTAATACCTGCAGTAAATCTAGGTAGTCTGTTTTTAGTGTACATTACTACCTGCAGTAAATCTAGTTTTAGTGTACATTACTACCTGCAGTAAATCTAGGTAGTCTGTTTCTAGTGTACATTACTACCTGCAGTAAATCTAGGTAGTCTGTTTCTAGTGTACATTAATACCTGCAGTAAATCTAGGTAGTCTGTTTCCAGTGTACATTTATACCTGCAATAAATCTAGGTAGTCTCTAGTGTACATTAATACCTGCAGTAAAGCTAGGTAGTCTGTTTCTAGTGTACATTACTACCTGCAATAAATCTAGGTAGTCTGTTTCTAGTGTACATTACTACCTGCAATAAATCTAGGTAGTCTCTAGTGTACATTAATACCTGCAGTAAATCTAGGTAGTCTGTTTCTAGTGTACATTAATACCTGCAATAAATCTAGGTAGTCTGTTTCTAGTGTACATTAATACCTGCAGTAAATCTAGGTAGTCTGTTTCTAGTGTACATTAATACCTGCAGTAAATCTAGGTAGTCTGTTTCTAGTGTACATTAATACCTGCAGTAAATCTAGGTAGTCTTGTTTCTAGTGTACATTAATACCTGCAGTAAATCTAGGTAGTCTGTTTCAAGTGTACATTAATACCTGCAGTAAATCTAGGTAGTCTGTTTCTAGTTTGCGTAGACATTTTGTGATTGCTTCATCTATCTGCTCTGCTGAATATGTAGGTGTATCAACTCCTTGTCTGAATCCAAACTTTGAGGCAATAACAGCATTCTGTCTACGCCCCTTTAGACATTTCCCAAGGACTTCCTCTGATCCACCATATCCCTACACATAATTTAACAAAAGTTCTATCTCTATGTACCATAAAATATCAATAAATTATATAATTTCATATATTTATAATAGTTTGATGAACTCAGACATTAGGCCACATCTTATTGCTGTTCATTAGATATTTGCCACTGAACAATGGAGAATGTAAGTGCTATTTTATCTACTAAGAATACGGGATGTCTTAAAAACAGAATTTATAAATCATTATGTTTGTGCTGTTGAAGTTTTTATTTACTGTCTTTGTTGTTATTATCATCAATTTTATTGAGTTCTTGTATAACAGAGATTATAAGATCTGAATGTAAAATGAATAATACTTTTGTTCCTTCAAAGATGATTGTCTGTGTTAATAACTTAACATTTAAAATGTATCACAATAATGTATATATATGAATTTTAAATTCTTTAGTAAATTCATGTAAAACCTAGCCATTGGAATAAATCTTCATATATACAGAATAGCAACATTATGAATATTCTCCTCGCAAAAATCCTCCTGGCCCAATCGCTCACCTGATTTGTTAAAGCTTAATTCATTCATCAATCATTTATTTTTTTGAGTAATAATGTATATCGGTGTTTGCTTAAAAATGCACCTTTTTTTTGGGGGGGGGGGGGGGGGGGGGGCGATGGGGTCATTGTTCTGAACATGTTCATGCAGATAGTAGATCAATACTATTTTTCTCATTTACACTTTCTTCTTATCTACTATAATTTTCAAGAAAATAATCAAAATCTAAAATTTCCTTATAAATAACTACTTCTAACAGTAACCCAACAATAAGTTCTCCAAATTCTCCAATTGGCATGAAAGTTTCATAATAGATAAATATTTACCTAATCATCACTCTAACTCTCTTTCACGTTTGCTCTAACTGCTTTAGTTTTTGAGATGTAAGCCAAAAACTTCATTTGACCCCTATGTTTTATTTTTGGCCATGGCGGCCATGTTTGTTGATGGATCAAAACTTCGGATACAATTTTAACCTAGATACCCTAAGAAACATTTATTTAATGTTTGAATGAATTTTGCCCAGTAGTTTCAGAGAAGAAGATTTTTGAAATAGTTTACGATGACAGACGACGACAGACGACAACAGACGATGACGACGACGACAGACGACGACGGACGCAAAGTGATGGCATAAGCTCACATGGGGCCCTTCGGGCTCGGTGAGCTAAAATGTGAGTCCATTTATCAGTAAAATACAGAATTTAAAAAAAATTCAAACTTTTTCTTTAGATGCTTTTTTTTGGTCTTGAAGATGAGCTTCTGTACAAGTTTCATAACAATCCATGAAGGTTTACAAATTTATCATGTAAATTTATTTTTATCCCAGACTGTCTTTAAATGTTAACTGTAAATAAATTGCTCCGCTGGGCGCAGCTTGATATGACCGCAGAGGTCGAACCCTGAACAGTTGGGGCAAGTATGGACACAACATTCAAGCTTGATACAGCTCTGAATTTGGATTGTGATTAAATATTTGACACAGCATAGGTTTCTGACACAGAATGAATGTGGTCTAAGAACTTAAATTTTTTTTTTAATTTACCTATTATGGTCCAATATCCAAAATCTAAATACATGGTTAGATTCAGCACATCATAGAATCCAAAGAATTCAATTTTTGATGAAATCAAACAAAGTTTAATTTTGGACCCTTTTGACCTCAATGTGGACCAACTTGAAAAATGGACCCATAATCAAAAATCTAAACACATGTTTAGATTCAGCATATCAAAGAACCCCAAGAATTCAATTTTTGTTAAAATCAAACTAAGTTTAATTTTGGACCCTTTGGACCTTGATGTAGACCAATTTAAAAAACGGGACCCAAAATTAATAATCTAAATACACGGTTAGATTTGGTATATCAAAGAACCCCAAGAATTCAATTTTTGATGAAATCAAACAAAGTTTAATTTTGGACCCTTTTGACCTCAATATGAACCAATTTGATAGCGGGACCCACAAATAAAAAATCTAAATACATGGTAAGATTCAGCATATTATTCGTCATAACAAATAAATAAATGTGGTCAAAGATTTTACAAATCTAATGCGCCATACTGTGCAATTAAAGATTACTTCTTGAAATTTTTCAATATTTGAAATTTGAAAAAAAAATAATATTTGAAGAATAATTCTTTTTAATTTCTGAAATCTGAAATCTGAAAAAATTGACCCCCCACAATTTCTTTTTACCCCCCCCCCCCCCCCTTTTCCCCAAAAAAATTCTTTCCCTCAAGACAAATGCAAGATATGCTCATAATCGCAATTCAAATTTCCAATTACCCATTTAAATTTACTATACTACTAACTTAATCTATTTTATAATAGAATTTAAAATATGGTGTCAAATCTTTCATATGGATTTTTTTGTAAAAAAAAAAAGATGCAACATTTGCAGATATTTTTACTGGTCTTCCTTTATAAATATGCATTTCTTTAAACATAATTTAAAAGCATTGTAAGGGAAGTAATCAAAACGTTGTATTATGATTACCTCCCTTACATTGTTCAAAATTGTCTTAATTGTTCATTAACCATTACTTTATACATAATTTAAAAGCTGTGTAAGGGAGGTACTTCAAATATTGTATTTGATTTATCTCCCTTACACTGCTTTAAATTATGTTTTGTACTAAACTATTTGTCCATTAACCAGGACAACCTTGATTTTCCCCCTTTTTTGCCCCTAATTCCTAAACGGTTTGAGCCATAACCCCCCAAAGCCAATCCTAACCATCTTTTTGTGGTATGGAAACTTGTGTTATAATTTCAGAGAGATCCATACACTGTTCCACAAGTTATTGTCTGGAAACTAGAAAATGCTTATTTTTGGCCCCTTTTTGGCCCCTAATTCCTTAACTGTTGGTACCATAACCCCCAAAATCAATCCCAACCTTCCTTTTGTGGTATTGAACCTTATGGTAAAATTTCATAGAGATCCATTCACTTAAACTAAAGTTAGAGTGCGAAAACCAATGTGTCTTCGGACGATGCCGAAGACGCCGACGACGCCAACCTCATACCAATATACGACCCCTTGCCCTTGATACTGTATTTTGGTCATAAACAAGCTTCTGTCCCAATTTCATAAAATTCCATGTATGTTTGACACAGTCATTGATGTCCAAAAAAACTTTAACCACAGACTGAACCTAAATGTTGACGCCACCGATGGAATCTAGGATCGCTATTTCTCGCTTTCACGAAATAAATTTCGCAAGCTCGACAAAAAGTATAAAAAAACAGTATAACATGATCAAGGCTTGCCTGCATTAAACATCATAGGACATAGATTTAAGACATGTCTTCTTACAATATTTGCAAAGCCTGTCAGGACATATTTTAGGTAGCATACCCCATATTTTGTGGGCTTTTTTTAAATAAAAATTCTCGTTGATTTTGCTTTTTGTAAATCATAATATATAAAGCTGACTACTTGTTAGACATTAATTTTATTTTTTTATGTAAATAATGAATCAAATATTCTCTTTATCTCAGGAACAGGTTTAAGGAAACATTACTAATAATAATTTGGGTGTACATGTGAATAAAGAAACATATCAAAGGTTTCTCTCTATATATCTAAACCCAAAAGATAACAAAAGAAGTTTAGGCATACCAATAATATTTTCTAAAGTTAAAATAATATAAACTTACCTCTGCTGTGTCGAAGAAGTTAACTCCGACTTCAAAACATTTATCCACAATAGCTTTAGATACCTGACAAAAAACAGCAGTATATTTAATATGGTAGTGCTAACATTATAAAATAACATTTCTCTGCTTTTCAATAGAATTATCCCTTTTCTCACCCATTATTAATTCTCTGTACAAATGATGTGTTGTGTGCCTATTTACAATCAACTATTGGCAATAATTTGATTATGTCACATTTCTTTATTTCATGTCCAATTTGACCATTTAAACTGCATATTATATATACAGATGAAACTGTTTGATTGATTGATTGTTGCTTGCTTAATATATAGTGACATGAACTTTTCCAATATTGCCGCACAAAGATAACACTTCATCTAAAGGATATGTTGAACATGTTGAAGGAACCTTGAAGTCATTAGAGAAAGCAGGCTACTGAATCATAAAAAAAAAAATCCTAATTTCTAATTGTGGCTCCATCATTTTTCATTTTAATTTCATGTTTTAGCTATAGAAAAAGTCATACATTTTTAAGCTACTCAGACATAGGAAATGACATTCTACCAAACAAAGCGCCATTTCATATAATCAGCTTGAATGACCTAGCTAGGAAACTTCTCATCATCAAAGGCTTTATAAAACAATTTTGCACATAAATCTAAATATCACATTCATTCAGCATGTTCAGACAATTTCTTGTTTAACAAAGAAAAAAACTATTATATTAGTATATTAATATAAGACCTAATTATTGGTTCCCTGCTGTCTTTTAAGTTTTATACTTTCAACAACTCTGATCTTAATAAAATACTTAAAGAAAAAAATTAAATAAGTGATTAGTATTGAATCAAGATCAAAACTGTTCAAGTATACATGTACAGTACTTGATTGGTAATTAGTTCTAAAGAATTTTTTAAATTAAAAACAAATGACACCCTTACATTTTTAGACATCTCGTACTTTTCAGACTTCATTATTTTGCATTGGGAGGCTAACAGCAAATTTTTCTATTAGAAATAGACTTCAGAAAATTTTAAACAACTGAGAAGTAATTTGTCTGAAATTGCTCAGCTGGAGTACTGAGTGGTTTCATATACAAAACCATAAATAGAAACAAAAAGGGTAAGTCTTACAGAGTTTAAGGATACATATCCTAATGAATATGGGACAAGTAGGTCATATATAAACTCTGTCTCTTCTTCTTCTTCTTACTTTATAGTACAGTTCTGCCATGGGAGTATTATCGTACTGTTATCAGTCTTATACTAGAGTCTAGTACAAAAAAAATGTATATGAATATTTAATTTAACCAATAAGATTTGTCTACATCAAATTTGTATCTGTATGAGTACGTTGTGGATACCAATACTGGTACAAATAATGAAAATAATCTAAATTTTATACTAAGTCATCATGGAGATTCTATATGTCTCTGGACAGACATAAATCAACAACAGTACATATAGACAGCAAAAGCTAATACAAAACTGGGTCAAGTGTGACTCCTTCTTAAACTGGGTCAGAACTTTAGTTATATAAAAGTTATTGATAAGCCTTATCATGAGAATGGATTTATTAGATAAATATTTTTTTAAATTTTTAGTTACACGTAAATTTTAACTACTTAGAATCATACCTCCTCTGGCTGGGCATCCCAAGAAGGATTTGCTTTATTTGCATTGAACTGCCAACACCCTAAACATAGTCTAGATACGTTTAAATCGGTACCGGGGAGTAACACTCTGGCAGCTGACATTTTTTTGCTGGTATCTAGTTGCTCTGGTTCCCAAGATGAACAATTCTTCGCAAGCATTGCATAAAGATACTTCTAAGGGTCCCAGGGTAAAACCTCGTACTTTTTCTTTTAAAAGAATCAAAAGTCACGAGAAGTTCGAATGGTAAAACCGGCAAATTTCAAGATGGCCACTGAAATGGAAAAAGCTCAAGCACTTCGTCAAACAAACAAAGCCGGAGCTTCAGATTTATTATATAGTTTAGGTTACTAACTAAAAAAATACTTTTTTAAAGTTTTCTTTTCATGTTTAACACATTCAACATGTATTTTTTGCTTTTATTTCTGCGATGACAATACTTTGATTCATCATGAAATCAATTTTGCTTTATCATTCAAGTCATTTGGAATTTTTAGGGTAGCAATTATAATTTCTCGGTAGTCTTCATTCAATATTTAGAAATTGGAGATTTACTTGCCATGTATATTTTATTATTAGCATTATGGCATGCAATACATTTCGTAGGAAATTGTTTTTTGTAATCCCTTTTGGGATTGTGAATCCATAATATAGACTTAAAAGACTTGATAAATTATCAAGTCTTTTAATTCTATGACGGGAAAATATTGGCAAACTATCTCTTCTCGAATCTGCGCCCATTATTCCTACAGCCATGGACCGTGCTGGGCTTCGCCAATGTCGCAATTTGCGATTATTTTATTTCATCTGGCGACAAAATACGCCTGCAGTTGATATTTCTGGCACCAACATTTTCTCATGTCAAGACTTTCATTTCTTGTCTAACGGTAATAATATCGATCGTCATTTAAATCCAATATTTAGAAATCAGAGATTTACTTGCCATGTATATTTTATTATTAGCATTATGGCATGCAATACATTTCGTAGGAAATTGTTTCTGTAATCCCTTTTGGGATTTTGAGTCCGGAGCGATTTTCTAAATTGGCCGCCGCAGAATCCATTAACAAGTCTTTGAAGTCTATGACGGGAAAATATTCACCAACTATCTCTTCTTGAATCTGCACCCTTCATACCTACAGCCAGGGACCACGCTGGGCTTCGCCAATGTCGCAATTTGCGATTTTTTTATTTCATCTGGCGACAAAATACCGCTGCGTTCAATATTTCTGGCGCCAACATTTTCTCATGTCAAAATTTTCATTTCTTGACTAAAGGTAATAATATCGATCATCATTTAAAAAGGTAAAAGTAAAAAATAAATTGCACGAAAATTTACCTGGCGACAAGTTTAGGACTTTGTTTATGACCCCAAGCTAATCAACAGTCACAACAGGTGTCACAATATGTTGTTACAGGTAAGCCGCTTATCAAATGGGTCATTAATGGTCATCAACATTAATTCATTCAAATAGAAATTGGTCAGTCAGCATTTGTCATTTCGTATTGAAGAAATTTTCATATGGCAACACAATTTGTAATGTTTAGCGTAGTTTTATGATGAAAACGTAATTGACAGAAAGACTAAAACCATAATAAACTGATTAAAAAACATCGCTTTTCTTGTATTCCGTAAAAAATGTTAAATTCAGATGTATTTTGTATTTGCCTGCCCTCACTTTTGATACGAAAAACAACAAAAATGGCCGCCATTGATGGTTTTTGTCTTTCTGTTAATTACGTTTTCATCATGAAACTACAAAACACTGCAAATTGTGTTGTAGTATGAAAATTTCTTTAATACGAAATGACAAATGCTGACTGACCAATTCTATTTGAATGAATTAATGCTAATGATCATTAAGGACACATTGGATAAGCGGATTACCTGTAACAACAGTACAATTCTATTTTTACTTTTAACAATTTAAATGACGATTGATAGATTTTATTAAGTGCTATGACCGTTACAGTGTTCTCCCCAGATATTTCATATAGCATCTTGGTAAACAGGGAAATTTGAAATACCATCTTGTTTCTAAAAATTATAGCATCACATCCATAACACAACCTATAAGAAAATCAATTCAGATAGCATCACATTCAAGAAACATACCATCACATTACCATGATGCTAAAAGGCCCTGGGGAGAACACTGCATTACAGTCAAGAAATGAAAATTTTGACATAGGAAAATGTTGGCGAAAGAAATATTGCCTGTGCACAGCTATATTTTGTCTCCAGATGAAATAAAAAAATCGCAATTTGGGACATTAGCGAAGCCCAGTGCGGTCCTTGCCAAGCAGGATTGATCTTGAAGTGACATAATATTTGAAATCAATGAATCAAGAATTTCTAATGGAATTTTCCTGGTTTACTAAGTTTTCCGTACTTTTTCTGTAAAATAATTGATATTTGTTCAATTTTGCACTGTTCTTACGAAAATGTTATACCATATACTTTGGACTCCAAAATTCAAGCTTAGATGTTGTATGAATTGATGATAAAAGATGTACAATTAGTGTTTTTTTTTTTAGTGAGAAAAGATATTGATTCCAACAGTGAAGATGAAGTCAAGGTTAAAGAACAGGCTGTATTGGAGTTAGGAAGTCTTATGGCAGAAACAAAACAAGCTGAAGGTTGGTACTAAATAAAACTTTCTAATATTTATCATGTTTATACTGTATGCAAAAATATAAGATGGCAACTGATATTCCTATCTTCATCAAATGAATAAATTAATTGTATGTGCTTAGGAAAGTCTTATATGATATCATGACACACTTAAAACATCCAAAAAGTATGAATACAAAAGTTTAAAAAAATCTTTATTGCTAAAGAAGGGTACATGTATACTGCTCCAAATGTAACAACTGTTCATTTTCTTGCTGTTAAATCTTGTTTATGTTGTGATAAGTCACAATTGAGCCTTGAGGAAAGAAAATGAATGACATTTGAAATCTATGGGATTTACTGATATACATTAATTGTCAAGTGTTTACAGCAATTGTAAACTTTTATGCAATAGTATCAACTTGATCTTCACTTCAGTAGCTTTGTATAAGCAGTAACCAACATACCTCCTATGAAAGAAATATCAGAAGAAACATGGAATTCTTATATAAGTTGTATTATTTGATTCATAGCTGATTAGTATGTATTTGTATTTTTCTGAAATCATTTTTCCGTGTTGATTATTTATATAGATAAAGAGATGTGGAGTTTAAATCAATTAGACATCAACCCAACTACACACTAACAAATATTAAGGTTGACTATGAATTGTACATTGTAGATACACTAGGAATCATACATGTCATGTCCAAGGCTTCCAAAACGGTCATATTTGTCGGACAAATGTAAAATTATCGGACATCGGTTTATTGGTTTCCCTTCTCTAACTTTAGTTTGCCTGAACCAAATGTTATGAAACTTATACACAATGCTTATTACCACAAAACACAGATCAAGTTTGAATTTTGGTGGTGTCACTTTTACCGTTCTAGAGTTGAGCCCTTTACAAATTGAAAAATTGCTGAATTTTTCGCTTCTGTTCTCTTTCTAATGTTTGCCTCAACCAAATGGTATGAAACTTATACACAATGCTTATTACCACAAAACTGATCAAGTACAAATTTGGGTAGCATCATTTCTACGGTTCTTGAGTTATGTCCCTTTATAATGTTATATGCAAGCGGGGGCATCATCTGTGTCCCATGGACACATTCTCCATTTATTTTATTTAAATTAATAACATTCCTGGTCTAAATCTACCTACTTTTTAGCAAAACAGATTGAGACTTATCAGAAAAACGTATTTAAAACGATAAGATCATAATTTACATGCATCAGGTAAACTATTTTGTACCGGTCATTGAACGGTCTATTTATTTAAAAGTTACATTTAAATTTCAGCGGTTTGCATCTTATCAATTTAATAAAAAGATTTAGATTATTAGAAATATGTATATGTACATGATTTGAAAAATTAAAAAGGTTGTAAGCGTAAAAAATCGTCAGAACCACGTTGTTTGAACTAGTACACGTGTGTGCATGTGGACAGGTGTGAGGTTTAATTATGCATCAAATTTTTTCAAAAATGCTAAAATTATCATTGATACCTTTATCTAACGTTCATTTCAAGTATATTACTGAAGAAATAACGTGGAAAGAGCTACTTAAACTCAATCATACTTTGTAAACGTACACGGATTTTACGTATCCGTCTCTGGTCCATGGTTTACCATTGCCAACATCCGATTTTATAGAAATGTGTTTTTTAAGATAAAAAGCAAAGTTTTTGACAGCCTAATTTTCCACAAACAAAGAGTCTAAGGCAGATATTAGTACGCTGATATTGCACACATCGAATAATGCACCGTCAATTGAAAAGTTTACGTCAGAACATCGTATTTATATCAAAAGTCAAATTTAAAATCGTTTTTTGTGTCAATCATTATTTATATGAAGCCCAATTGATTAAAATGCTTGCCTTTTGTTTCTTAGTCTTAAGGGACCTGAAATCGGGATAAGACAAAAAATGTCCGGCTAGCTCAAATATTTTTTGGAAGCCCTGGTCATGTCCATGAATAGAATTGTCAAAACAAAATAATCAAGATTAAATTAATGATTTACTTTGACTTTTTTTTTCAGAACTTGCAGGTTTAATCAAGTTTACCCGACCATTTTTATCTCTTGTTAGTAAAGCCAAGGCAGCCAAACTTGTGCGAGCTTTGGTTGATATGTTTTTAGATATGGAAGCAGGCACAGGAAAAGAGGTAGATACAATTATCAATTATTTTTGGCCAGGTTAGAAGAAGTCCAAAACCAGCTTATGATAAGTCTACACAAAACTCTAAAAATTTTTGAAAATTTTATAAATGGTAGCTGAATTTGCATACCTTCATTTTCTTATTGTTATACAAATATATTGTCTATACGTATGTTGGCCATAAGTTCTCTATAGTTAATATATATTTCACAATCCAACCTATACAAAGGAAGGTACAGATTATGACCAAGGTTAACATGCAGTTGTCACTAGCAATTTTTTGGACTTCCAAATTCACACAACAACCATTATACTTTCTTTGAAAATTAAACACTTGCTAAAAATTCCAAGACATGATCAAATAAAATTGCTTTTATTTATTGTTGTCAAGTAATGGATAATGCAACCAGCTGATTTTTTGTCAGAGGGGTTACTTGGTACTGTAGACTCCACCTAATATATTGGCTAATATTATTTATTTCAAAACACCAAACCCTTCCCTATACGTTTAATGTTAACCCTTACCATGCTGTGCACGCATATGACTGGATTACCCAAACCACAGTTATTTTGCTCCAATGGCACGCCATACTTTAAGGGGTCAACTTCATGATACTTATTTCGAAATTGATGCATGTTCCCTCAATCTGAGGCTATCTGTTGTCATGTGTCTCATGTTTAAGTTGCATTTTGAGCTCAAATACGAACTTGGAAAATTGAAATTGGAAAAAACTGGTTTTTCTGTAGGGGTGGGCTTCCCTTCAGTGTCTAACACAGGAAGTTCAGAGGCCTAAAACTTTCAAAAATAGTGTAAACCCGCGGGCATTTATCTTCTGATCATAATTATTATTGAAATACGGACAGGAAATGACTACTTCTGGTTTCAGGTCCAGTTGAAGTCAAAAATAGGAAAAAATCGTGAAATTTCTTATTTTTTGTCCAAATGACCTTCTTTAGACTGGTGTTCCCAGATCAGTTTCACTCCAACCTAAGAACTGTTCAGGTTAATGTGTTTAATGGGGTCCACTGTATATATGCAGAATACAGCTGGATACCTATATCAGCATCCCTTGGTCTTTGGGGTCAAGAAATAGGACGAAAAATCATCAAAATTGACGCTTTTTGCACCTGATGACCAATTTTTGGGCAAATTATCACCCACCCACCCCTGCCTCCTCACCCCAACCACCCCGCCCCGTGATCACCTACCTTATTTATAAAATATACTGTACAAGAGAAATACGTTGGGAGAATCTTGATAAAACTCAAGTGCTCACAGAATCAGAAATATAATTTCAACTGAATGTACCTCCTTTTGATTAATTTTTTGCAATATACATATAAATCCCTTTTGCCAAGAAGATATAATTTTGTAACGTGTAGGTTTGACCACATGTCATGGTCGCCATTTTCTTTTGTTTACAAAATGTGAGGAAGCCTCTAGAACCATGACCAAAATATTAACAGTCTTCAGAAAACTTTAACTTGTTGCAATAATATTTGATTAATTATGATTATCTTCATTGATATTCAAATAAATTTGATTAGTCAAAGAAATAAGATATATAACAAATTCGATTTTAGTTTAGAGACAGAACATGCTATATATTTATAGCCTGATTGGCTTACCTGTGATTTTACCACATACAAATGTAAATATGGATATTACTTAGTATATAAAAGAAATAAAGACACATACTATGGATGGTAGATATTTATTCACATAAATATTTCAGGACACTTGATTTATTTTAATAAATATAGGATTTAAAAACAGAAAAGCAAAAATTTGAGCATTACATAACCAGCTGATAAAATTTTTACACAATCATCGGTAGTGATGAATCTGATGAAAATAACATTGATCCCTATTATATATATAGCAGTGGTCAGGGCTAGTTCTATCTCAGGATTAGGTTAACTCATTATTGCAGAATATTCAATGAATATACATTTATCGTCTAATTGAATATATCGGATAATGGGATATTTTTTGCTAACATTTTGGGTATCCGATTTGCCGGAGTCTACTTTACTAATTAATTTAATAGTCATAAAAACAAATGCAAATGTGAAGATGTTGTTTTTCACTCACTGTAAATTCAAAAATCATTGGGATGTTTATATTAATGCGAAGAATGCAATGGTATCAGGTTCGCAATAATAAAAACTCACATTCATAATTTAAGTTGTGATTTTCTTTCACAAAATGTTTGCAATCGCATTAATTAGAACTAAATTTATACCAGTAATAAGTGATTCGCAATAATAAATGCACGCATTAATTTCTGAATTTACAGTAACTCACATACTTTTATTTTTAGGTTGAGTTGTGTAAAGAATGTATAGACTGGGCAAAAGATGAAAAGAGAACATTTCTTAGACAAGCCTTAGAGGTATGAAAATAAGGAGATGTTGTATGATTGCCAATGAAACAACTATCCACCAAAGTTCAAATGATGTGGATGTAAGCATTTAGTCCACTATTACATGAACTCCTTTAGTTATATATGTATGTAAAGATTTGCAGTATCTTCTTGGTTTCTAAAAGACAGGGGATGTAAACCATAGCTTTGATAGACTTTGGATATTATTGTTAAATTTTGGAAACAGCAAAATTGTCTTGTAAGATATTGTCTAGATTTGAAGTTATCTTATTATAGTGATTTCAAAACATTTTCAATAAATGATTCTATTAATTGCTACTATTATTTTACGTCATCAAAAAAAGAGAAGGACACTTTGACCTATACTATATGTTTCATTGACAAGTTATGAGTTGAAAATTCTTACCTATATTAACACTTCATTGATTTAGATAATGATTTATAATTGAATACAGATCATAGATATTGGTGTAATGATGTATCTGAGAAAGTGTAGCAACCTCCCACACAAATATAGGTCACCCTGACCTAAAGTTTACTCTTCACCGACCTTCAGTTTCATGTTTAAGTTCAGACCATATCTCCGCATCTTGATGAGTAAAGCAAACTCCCCCTATAAAAATCAGTTTGTCTAATGATACATCAAAAGCGATAGAACATACCAAGGAGTAATAAAATACATCAGTAATAATGAAAAAAAAAACGCCAAGAAAAAAAATCAAATTGACAAATAACACATAACTCTAGTTTTATGAAAGCATCAACTGTGAACCTTTTAAAAGTATGAAATGCTTCTGTCCTTCATACCAAATGTGCTTTGATGAAAGCTTTTTCACATCAATGACATTTCGAAAAGAAGCATTCAATTCTAAAGTACAGCCTCAAAAGTGTGGCGGGATATATATAAAATTGATCATAAACATATCAAAAGATATGATACACTCATTCGTGTGGGGATATAATCTACATTAAAGGGACTTCATTTGTTAGAACATAAAAAAAAAATAAGTGTAAATAATTAAAAATGTTGGATGGAAGATCATATTTACAAAATGTATAAATTTTTTATTTTAAACAAAATGAAGAGCCATGAAACAGTAAAACATATGAAAATTATATGAAAATCCTGGTTTACAAATAGAACCTAGTACTAAATTCTAAAAAAATACACTACATAAAGTACAAGATTTCATGTTGTTAGCATCATACTACTATGTTGTCTATTTATTTATTCTAAAGCATGACTATATTGCGGATAAGTTTTTATATGTGCAGAATTTTATTTTTGCCTTATTGATTTTTCAGGCTAGACTCATTGCTCTTTACCATGAGACAAAACAGTATACAGAAGCACTTGCTTTAGGTATGTTATTACTTCGAAAACATCAAATATTTAATTTTTATAAGGTAAAAAAACAATTTTATGAAAAATTGAAAACTGCATTAAACATATGCTTCATATTTGATTGATGAATGGATTGTTGTTTAACATTTTCAGTACTAAATTAAATTTTATAAGGCATGTTCTTTTAGCCAGACCACCTCGATGGTCTTGTGATGGCCTGCTTGTTTTAAGTGTGGGAGGTTATGTGTTCGAACCCCATTTAAGATCAATCTAAAGACTTGAAAATTGGTATTTGCTGCTTCTCCACTGAACATGCAGCATATAGGAGTAAGAACAGACTGGTCAGCTCAGAGTCGGAATAATGTGTGGGTAAGATGACTTGTCTTCCTGCAGACTGTTACGCTATGAACTAGCACTAGCACGTTATAAATCTTGCTCAGCATATCAGTCTAGTACAAAGCATTATCATTTCAAGCCAATCCATACCCCCTCCTTGCATCTTTCATAGTATTTTATTAATTCTCAAGCTATTTGTTTCCCAGTATGTGACATTATGTGCATTTTGTCTATGATTGTTGATATTGGAATGTAATAAAATAATTTTAAGCATTTAAAGGAATAGAGATAAAAATATGAATTTTCAAAATGTTTTTTTAATTGTTCTAAGGTAGAAAAATAAAAGAAACTAATGTTCTGATATGTATTTGCATTCAATTTGTTTTAGATTTAATCTTTTTACAAAAAAAAAACCCATAAAATTAAGGAGTATATTGTGAAAGGTGACAAAAAAGGGGAAGTAACTCAAATTTATTGTCAAACAACTTTATATAGACAAATGGCCCAAGACCACAATTAATGACCCTGCTTTTCGTTGTCCACAAACATAGTTCCTTTTAATTAGAGTGTATTTTTTCTTAATTTTTTTTCTTTCCCTTCCTCACTCATTTCTTAGTTTTTTTTTGGGTGGAAATGAAAGAAGAGAGGTGAAATAAACTTTTGGATGTTGTATTTTAACTGATTTTGATATGGAAAGAGTGAGTAGGCCAGGTGCAAAAAGGTAATATTTACAGTTTTCGGAACATCTCTTGACTTGTCCATAGGGGTATGGATGTGTATTGGCTAAATTTGTAAGAGTGATTGGTTCAATCTTTCTGAATTTTGGATATATTTTTGGACTAGTACTATACATTACACACACAAAAGATTTGACAAAAATGCATGGTGCAATTTTTTTAATGAAACAAAAAGTTATAAAGAACTAATAGAGGAATTTAATTGTGGTCTGTGGCCAAATTATTTATGACATTAAGCTAAGGTAATTGGTGTTAATTAACAGTATGTTTGACCCCAAACTGTCAAGTGAAGCCATGCACTTAATGGGTCATTTAATTTGACCGTTAAACTTCCTGTCCAGGTAGAATTACGAATTTGCGGGTATTTCAATGGAAATTCATTTATGAAATCAGTCTAAAGGCTCAAGAACCCGGCTGAAAACGGGTCATTTTCTGATTTCACAGGTTATTTAGCGACCTGGTTGGTATTTAAAAAATCTCGGGTGTGACTCGCAGGATACGGGTCAGTTGACAGATATGCAATGGTAATCTGAAAATATATTCATCAATTTTGTTATTTTAATTATCTGGTAAGACACCTTAAAATGGTTACACTCATTATAAAACTAATTTCAATAGTTCTCGTGAAAACACTTGTTTTAGATGCCTAGTTACATATGTGATTTCATACTAAGTGTTTTCCCTCAATTCTACGTAGATCAGAAAAAATTGAAGTAAAATGTGTTATAAAATTTTAAACATTTGGATTTATTATTTTAGGTTCATCATTACTACGAGAATTAAAGAAGCTAGATGATAAAGCATTACTAGTAGAAGTTCAGCTGCTGGAAAGTCGTGTATATCATTCACTTAGCAATCTCCCTAAAGCAAGGTTAATATAAATTTAGTAGACATCAAAGTCATGTATATCATTCACTTAGCAATCTCCCTAAAGCAAGGTAAATATAAATTTAGTAGACATCAAAGTCGTGTATATCATTCACTTAGCAATCTCCCTAAAGCAAGGTAAATATAAATTTAGTAGACATCAAAGTCGTGTATATCATTTACTTAGCAATCTCCCTAAAGCAAGGTAAATATAAATTTAGTAGACATCAGAGTCGTGTATATCATTCACTTAGCAATCTCCCTAAAGCAAGGTAAATATAAATTTAGTAGACATCAGAGTCGTGTATATCATTCACTTAGAAATCTCCCTAAAGCAAGGTAAATATAAATTTAGTAGACATCAAAGTTGTGTATATCATTCACTTAGCAATCTCCCTAAAGCAAAAAAAGTATAAATTTAGTAGACATCAATATCATTCACTTAGCAATCTCCCTAAAGCAAGGTTAATATAAATTTAGTAGACATCAAAGTCATGTATATCATTCACTTAGCAATCTCCCTAAAGCAAGGTAAATATAAATTTAGTAGACATCAAAGTCGTGTATATCATTCACTTAGCAATCTCCCTAAAGCAAGGTAAATATAAATTTAGTAGACATCAAAGTCGTGTATATCATTTACTTAGCAATCTCCTCAAAGTAAGGTAAATATAAATTTAGTAGACATCAGAGTCGTGTATATCATTCACTTAGCAATCTCCCTAAAGCAAGGTAAATATAAATTTAGTAGACATTAGAGTTGTGTATATCATTCACTTAGCAATCTCCCTAAAGCAAGGTTAATATAAATTTAGTAGACATCAAAGTCGTGTATATCATTCACTTAGCAATCTCCCTAAAGCAAGGTTAATATAAATTTAGTAGACATCAAAGTCATGTATATCATTTACTTTGCAATCTCCTTAAAGCAAGGTAGGTATCATGCAGTCTTCACGATAAACTTTTAAATCTACAGGGCCAGAGCTCAGTTTTTGGAAAATTTTGGTTAGATTCTGTTGGCCTATAGAGATGATTTTTACAGGCCTGATAGCAATTTTACAAGCCTGGGCTGCTGGGTATGTGTTAGTAAACATCAAAGTCGTGTACCGGGGTACATCATTCACTTAGCAATCTCCCTAAAGCAAAGAAAGTATGAATTTAGTAAACATCAAAGTTATGAGAGAGCACTTTCTTTAATGTAACTAAACAAGGGCAGTACAAATTAAGTAGAAATGTGAGTGATTTATTTACTTAATTAAAGGTGATGTTAAATAGTATTTTACAGTTTGATTGTCGCTCGTATTCTCTTTGAATTCAATGCCTGTTCTAAGTATTGACTATAAAAGCTGCTGAAATTTAGTAAAGCATTGAAGGGATAAAAATAGCATGCACTTACGTGTATATTTTTACATAGAAAGTTGATTTTCATTTGATTTGGTGGCATTTATTTTATCACTTAGTTTTCTGATACAAAAACCTTTTATTAGTTTGACAACAGGTTTGTGTAGCTCTTTGATACTTATTTATATGATGAACATTTTTTATGTTACAGGGCAGCTTTGACATCAGCTAGGACTACTGCCAACAGCATATACTGTCCACCAAAACTTCAAGCTGCTTTAGATATGCAGTCAGGTGTGTATCAATTTTCCCAAAGGAGTAGGTTTGAGAAAACTTGGATATGGCCCCTATTTCAAGTTTGCCAAATAAGGCCCTTTGAATTTTCTTATGCCAGCATTGTTGATAACACATGCTTTTCACATGTAATACACACTTTTTCAACTGTTTACACCTTTTTGTTACACACTACAGAAACAAGAGTCCCATGTTACTTGCATAGAGATTTGTGAATAAACATTTGTAAAATTGTGTAGTAAAACAGATGAAATCATACTATATTTATAAAACAAAAATGGACAAATTGAATGTAATCATTTTCCTTTCCTTTTCCTTCAAATATGTGAAATAGCCAATAATAATCCAAATATAAACGAGAAAACCCGCTATTATTACAAAAATATCCACAATAAAACACAAAATAAGAAAAACGGAAAAACTAAAGAATAGTGACAACAAAGAGAATACAGGGATTCGAACCAATACCAACAAGTCTCTACCTTTATCTTGACTCTTTAAATCATTGATCTTAACTCATGCTTACCTCTTGGCTACCAACTTATACTATATGATTGCCTATTATGTATATATAAAGGCACAAGCCCTGTGTGTCTGTTGTACCGATGTGCATCATATGTTCATTTATATATATAAAATAGACTATCTAAATTGCAACCCATTGGAAGCTGAGAGGTTTCGTCGATGTGTTGATATCAGTCACACATAACAGATTTTAAGGAGGGGTTCGATTCCCAGTGAAGGCATATAAAAATTACACAAATTAAAGGTAAGTTTTTAAATTAATTCCATTAGTGAACAGAAATCAGAAAATTAGCAAATTCAAACTTAATAAAATAAGGCACACAAAGGAAACAATTGAATATAATTTCATTTTTTGGTGAGTCCATTTAAGCGACAGATTTAGGAAGCGATGATTCAAAAAGAATCCACTGTAAATGAATAGGTTGGCATCATGACTATGGTTTAAGAAGTCAGAATTTATTTTCTTGTATGTTTCAGGTGTACTTCATGCAGCTGATGAGAAAGATTTCAAAACAGCTTACTCTTATTTTTATGAGGCATTTGAAGGATATGATTCCATAGACAGTCCTAAAGCAATCACAGCTCTCAAATACATGTTGATGTCTAAAATCATGTTAAATACGTAAGTTATACCTGACAAATACATGTTGATGTCTAAAATTATGTAAAATACGTAAGTTATACCAGACAAATACATGTTGATGTCTAAAATTATGTTAAATACATAAGTTATACCAGACAAATACATGTTGATGTCTAAAATTCTGTTAAATACGTAAGTTATGTACCAGACAAATACATGTTGATGTCTAAAATTCTGTTAAATACGTAAGTTATGTACCAGACAAATACATGTTGATGTCGAAAATCATGTTAAATATGTAAGTTATACCAGACAAATACATGTTGATGTCGAAAATCATGTAAAATACGTAAGTTATATCAGACAAATACATGTTGATGTCTAAAATTATGTTAAATACGTAAGTTATATCAGACAAATACATGTTGATGTCTAGAATCATGTTAAAAAAACGTAAGTTATACCAGACAAATACATGTTGATGTCTAAAATCATGTTAAAAAAACGTAAGTTATACCAGACAAATACATGTTGATGTCGAAAATCATGTTAAATACGTAAGTTATACCAGACAAATACATGTTGATGTCGAAAATCATGTTAAATACGCAAGTTATACCAGACAAATACATGTTGATGTCGAAAATCATGTTAAATACGTAAGTTATACCTGACAAATACATGTTGATGTCGAAAATTATGTTAAATACGTAAGTTATACCAGACAAATACATGTTGATGTCGAAAATTATGTTAAATACGTAAGTTATACCAGACAAATACAGGTTGATGTCTAAAATCGTGTTAAATACGTAAGTTATACCAGACAAATACATGTTGATGTCGAAATTTATGTTAAATACTTAAGTTATACCAGACAAATACATGTTGATGTCTAAAATTATGTTAAATACGTAAGTTATACCAGACAAATACATGTTGATGTCGAAAATTATGTTAAATACGTAAGTTATACCAGACAAATACATGTTGATGTCGAAAATTATGTTAAATACGTAAGTTATACCAGACAAATACATGTTGATGTCGAAAATCATGTTAAATATGTAAGTTATACCAGACAAATACATGTTGATGTCGAAAATCATGTTAAATATGTAAGTTATACCAGACAAATACATGTTGATGTCGAAAATTATGTTAAATACGTAAGTAACAGCACTCAAATACATGCTGTGTCTAAAATTATGTTAAATATGCAAGTTTAACAACACAAATACAAGCTGATGTCCAAAACTATGTTAAATACATAAGTTAAAGCCCATTTCTTTTTAATAAGATGTAAATGCTGAAAGGCTTTTTCAAAACAAAGTTTACTGGGAACTTTTGAATTAACCTTCATGTCCATAACCTGGTCATGCAGGTTTATAAACTATATAACTTTTTAGTCATACAATGTTGGTGTGTAGATGTATCTTATAAAATTTTATCATGTGCCATTAGGTAAGGGTAACATAATATTCTAAAGTAATGTTGCATTCTTTTTATAAACTGTTTCACAGAAGGTCTAATATTTGAGAATGGCACAAGCCTGTATTGTTAATCAAATCAACATTATTGATAATGGCATTATGGCAATATCATTTCTCAATACATGAAAAATAGTATATTTACCAATTATTTACTGTTAATTTGATACTTTTAGATCTGATGAAGTCCAAGCTATTGTTAGTGGTAAATTGGCTTTGAAATACAGTGGCCCTGCTGTTGAAGCCATGAAAAGTATAGCTCAAGCTAGCCATAAAAGATCTCTTGCTGAATTTCAGAAGGTACTAAGTGTGAATAAATTAATGGATAGATATTGATATGACATAAAACCCAACAATAGGTTTCACCATTTGTGAAAAATTGAATAAAATTGAGAATGGAAATGGGGAATGTGTCTAAGAGACAACAAACCGACCAAAGAGCAGAAAAGAGACAAAGGCTACCAATGGGTCTTTAACACACCGAGAAAATCTCGCACCCGAAGGCGGGCTTCAGCTGGCCCCTAAACAAAAATGTGTACTAGTTCAATGAAAATGGACGTCACACTAAACTCCAAAACATATAAATGAACTAGACTTGAAAAACATACAAGACTAACAAAGGCCAGAGGCTCCTGACTTGGGACAGGCGTAAAAATGCGGCGGGGTTAAACATGTTTTGTGAGATCTCAACCCTCCCCCTATACCTCTAGCCAATGCAGAATAAACAAACACACAGCAATACGCACAGTAAAACTCAGTTTTAAAGAAGTCATAGTCCTATGTCTGAATAGGTAACAAAAGAAACTAAGCAAAATGACAATGGTACATAAATTAACAAAGGACTACTAGCAGTTACTGACATGCCAGCTCCAGACCTCAATTAAACTGATTGTAAGATTATGTCTTCATCATATGAAAATCAAGCAGAATGAATTCATTTCTGAATATTAAAGACAGAAGTTGAAGATATAATTTAAAATAAAAATATATGTATTGCATTTAGAATAACCACTGGATGTTAAGCAACCAAAAATTTATTAATCATTAGAATAACTGATATTTTATCATACTATACCAAGCCAAACAGTATCGATATGTCATGTTCTAATAATTTAACATACTATTAAGCTGGAAGAATTTTCTAGGGTAATATTTCCATAAGCATTGTTTATTTAGAAAAAAACAATATGTGATTCTTTTAAAATGAATGACGCTACACACAGTGTGCTAATGATATATTCTAAAAAAAAGTAGCATTTCAAAATATTATTTGTTGATCTAAGATATTCAGCTTTGTTTAATATACTACAAGTGTTATTACCTTTGCAGACACTTGCAAGCTTTAAATCTCAGTTAGAAGATGATCCAATTGTTAACGCCCACCTGAAGACATTATATGATAACTTACTGGAGCAGAATCTGTGTAGGATCATAGAACCTTTCTCAAGGGTCCAGGTAATATATGTACAATTATATAGCTTGTTTACTGGAGCAGAATCTGTGTAAAATCATAGAACCTTTCTCAAGGGTCCAGGTAATATACAGTACACACTGGAACATAGTCTGAAAAATCATCAGCATTTTGTATGCCTGGCATCAAATGCTTGGCTTTTTTTGGGGGCCATAAATCACTGGCTGATGGTCAGACTACCTGATGGGATAATTAAAGGTTGGCAGTCAGGTGTTTTAAATCCATTTACAGGTGGAAAGTTTCGTGTCTGGATTACATAATATTTACCTGTACAGGTAAATTTAATTGTGCTGTACACACAGAATTAAGAAAGTTTTTGGAATTTGGTTTCAAAGAGAAAAAAAATCTCGGAAAAAAAAAATTTCAAAATTTTCATCATAAATTTTTTAGTCAGTCGTTTATGATGATGTTATTCACGAAAAATAAAGTGGACGTAGTGTTACATGCAAGTTAATAAAGTTCTTTACAAATTAAATTTATGAAAATGAACACAAAAAACCTCTAAAATTTCAAATTATATGTAAACGTGTTTTCATCCTGTCAACCATGACCCCGCTTTCTCAAGCAATAAATTTAAATGCTCAATCAGGTTCTATTCCTGTTCAAATATTTTATTAAATAGCCATCGTATCTGACAAAAGAAAAAATAGCTGTCAAATCTATGTTTCATTTTCCGTTTCAGTAAGATTTCATGTTTTGAGAATATATTTACATTTCGTTTTCAAATATGAATAAAGACAGGAAAATAAAATTTTTAAAAAGGTAACTGAAAAACTTAAACTAGTAAATTAATGAATTGCAAGAACATATAATTCTCGACGAAATGTAGATGTAACGGAAAAAGAAGGAAATGAAATAGATATTTGAATTTTTAATCATAGAGAAAGATTAAAAAGAAAACAAAAAATATATAGTGTTTCTTCCTCAGGATGACCTGAAAATAAAAAAGATACATTTCTTTTATTGGTAAATTAAACAATTTGAACTGAAACAATCTGAAACTGTTCTTGCCTTTTAAATTTCCATTATGATAATATCGATTTTACCTGTAACACTATCAAAACTAATAACATATATTAAGTAGCATGTCCGACCAACCATGCATGCCTGACTGATTTTATTGCGCCTGTTATCAGCTGATGATTTGATTAACAGCAGATAATCTAATTATCGACATTTATCAGACCATGTCCCAGAATGTACTGTATGTACAATTATATAGCTTGTTTCTATGGTCCAGGTAATATATGTACAATTATATAGCTTGTTTCTATGGTCCAGGTAATGTATTTACAATTATATAACTTGTTTCTATGGTCCAGGTAATGTATTTACAATTATATAACTTGTTTCTATGGTCCAGGTAATGTATTTACAATTATATAACTTGTTTCTATGGTCCAGGTAATATATGTACAATTATATAACTTGTTTCTATGGTCCAGGTAATATATGTACAATTATATAGCTTGTTTCTATGGTCCAGGTAATATATGTACAATTATATAGCTTGTTTCTATGGTTCAGGTGATTCTCCTTGTGTAATAATAGATACTTCATCATTCTTTTAGATAATCACATACTGTGTAATGTAACTGTCTTTAAGACTCAAGGTGGTCAATAACTGGACAGAAATGTTTTAGAATTTTACAACCTTTTTCAGGAGTTTGAACATATTAAGATATCTGACCAGTACTTATTTATTTTGAGGAAGACAACATTCTCCCATAAAAACATATTTGATAAAAGTTAAATGTAATGGTATGTGCATATTCAATCAAAGGACCAAAAGGACTTTCATTTTAAACATTCAGAATAGTTTTGCTGGGTTGCAGGAAATGTCAATCGGACTTATAGTAAGGTGAATGTTGAGCAGGTAGGGAAAAGTTACCTGTTTGATGAATGGATTCCTCTTACAATTTCTAACTCAGAGCCTTCAAACTGTATAGAATGTTTTTGTATCGCCTCTCTCGAGACATTGGTGTGCTTTCTGTGACGACGTTGTCAACAATGTATTAGTTTGTAATTAGGTCAGTTTATGGGGAACCACAATTAGTAGGTCAATGATATTTTGTATGCAGTTGTATTGGTATTTGGCACATCTCATTTCCATGGAGATTATTTGGCCCTGCCCCCTCAGTCATGGTCTGTTGACTTTGAAACTTTTGCTTAGTTTACATGTATAAGTTTGTGATTAGGTCAGTTTATGGGGAACCACTTGTGGTAGGTCAATGATATTTGGTATGCAGTTGTAATAGCATTTGGCACATCTCATTTCCATGGAGATTATTTGGCCCTGCCCCCTCAGTCATGGTCTGTTGACTTTGACGCTTGCTTAGTTTACATGTATTAGTTTGTGATTAGGTCAGTTTTTGGAGAACCACTAGAGGTGGGTCAGTGATATTTTGTATGCAGTTGTATTAGTAATGGCACATCTCAATTCCATGGAGATTTTCTGGCCACATACCTTCAGTCATGGTTCAATGACTTTGAATATTTTTCGTAATTTACATGTTAAAGTCAGGGGCGTTTCTAGGATATTTGAAAGAGGGGGTGTAGAATCAAATTTTTTGGACCTTTTTTTTGCTAAAAAACATAAAATAATTGTGAAATGCACTAATGTAACGGTTCCTCACTTGGAGCATGTATCATGTGTATATTTTATAGTTAAAGTGTCAGGGTTTGACATTTTTATGCCGAATTCTCTCCATTAATTGTCTATGGTATATTAAAATGATTGAATGGATCTTAACAGCATATAGCAATTGTCAGGGTTTGACATTTTTATGCCGAATTCTCTCCATTAATTGTCTATGGTATATTAAAATGATTGAATGGATCTTAACAGCATGCAGAAGACCAATAAAGAGAAATTCCAAATTCTAGGGTATAAGGCGTTACTTAACATTTCACTAGTCCTAGGCCACGATTTTATGAACGGGAGGAGTACTTACGGTTGCCCTGGTAGAGGGTCCATGGGGAAGCTCAGAAGCTCCTGAATTTCAACAATTTAGCATCAAATTATGAAGTAGCCAGACTGATAAATATCTCTCTATTTTAGATTAAGTTCTGGTTTTGTGGAACGACACACATGATACAAGACAAACAAACACTGAAGTATAAAGTTCTTTCGTTCTAAATATTGTAGGTTTTAATGTGGAATACATGATTGAATATGATAAATTGCCATATTCAATACAATATTAGCAGATTACGATAGTTTGTTGTTTTTTTTTTTTTATTTTAGTACACCCATTACGCCCTTACCTGGACCCGCCCCTGAAAGTATTGCTATTTTAATTTCAACATTTGCATTTTACTATCAAAATAGCGAAAAGGCGAACCCCTCTTTTTCTTGACGATCAATGCATTTGAATGGGGACATATAGTTGGAACCCCCCTTTTAAAAATGGCTGGATCCTCCCGTGTTTTGGGTACAAGAAATATCATGATAGACACTTCCAGACAGTTTTGAAATCTAAGGATACATATTAACAAGAAATTATTACTTTTTAGGTACAACATGTAGCTAATCTGATCAAATTACCTATGGTAAGTCAAGTATTAAACTTATTAAGACAATTTTACAGGTAAAGACTTGTTCATTTTCAATTTCAAGAGGTAATTAATAAATTCTGTTTATTCAGGAATCAGATGACAACACTTGAATTCATTAAGATCATTTGAAATTATATTTGTGCAAATACATGCTGAAAAAGGATGAAATCTTTTTTATACAAAAAATAAAGTGATAATAAAAGATGATATGGAGTATCCTTTAATGAGAAAGCAACCGAAGGACATAAATAACCAGAAGACATCTACAGGTCAACACATTGTTAGTAATATTATGATTTTTTTTCAGGACACAGTTGAGAAGAAATTATCACAAATGATACTAGACAAAAAATTCCATGGTGAGTACATGCTTGCTGTTCGGTGTGAGCCAAGGCTCCATGTTGAAGACCGTACTTTGACCTATAATGGTTCTTTTATAAATGTTGACTTGGATGGAGAGTTGTCTCATTGGCACTCATACCACATCTTCTTATATCTATTGGATGGAGAGTTGTCTCATTGGCACTCATACCACATCTTCTTATATCTATTGGATGGAGAGTTGTCTCATTGGCACTCATACCACATCTTCTTATATCTATATACAATAAACAGACCCACACACATTAAAATCCCTAAACCGTAGAATGCAGATGGACATAGAATGAAATATTTCTTTTTTTAGTTACAAGTTTGATTGATGGCGTAAAATATAGCAATAACTGTAAATTCTGAAATTTGTGTGATGTTTTTATTATTGAGAGATTTGCGACGGATAGGTTTTTATTATTGAGAGATTTGCGACAGGATAGGTTTTTATTATTGAGAGATTTGCGACAGGATAGGTTTTTATTATTGCGAGATTTGTGACAGGATAGGTTTTTATTTTTGAGAGATTTGTGACAGGATAGGTTTTTCACAAAATAAAATCTCATAATTTGTATGAAGCGTTTTCTAAAATCCCAAATAATCGTGTCTGTTGTTAACTATTGCAGTAATAAATGCTTGCTAACATTTCTGAATTTACAATGCCATGTTACTGAAAATTATAAGTTATAAGAAACTCATTATTTTATGAAAATTCCACTAGTTGAATATTTTTATCTACAAAAGCATATTTTCAGTGAATATTTGTTTTGAAAGTTTTCAAAATAGTGAATTTTTATATTTTGCTTTATTTGTAGGTATATTGGACCAAGGAGCAGGTGTTTTGATTGTATTTGATGAAACCCCGGTGGACAAGACATATGAGAACTCACTTGATACCATTCAAAACATGGGCAAAGTTGTTGATGCTTTATATAATAAAGCCAAGAAGCTGACATAATTATTTAATGTTGAAATGGGAAGGGAGGGTATACTGAAATTTTTGTTATTAAATTTATCTTTATGTGACATTTTGTGCATTTGCTATTTTACCATATCTGCAATTAAAATATTGTTTGTAATTTTTCCTTATAAGTAATTAAGAATTCCAAATAAACCATCTTCTGACTGCAATAACACTTCACAACAAAACTAACCCCAAGGTTGACTGGGGTATTCAAAAATTATCATCCTGTTCCTTTCTGGTAGTAAAAAACTAGCACAAGTGGGTGTCTATTTGACTGTGCAGAATGTATAAATTTGTAGCCATGTCCAGTCAGAATGGAGATGTTAAATCTGATGCCTCGTGATGACAGAGTGCCAAGAACCCTTGCAACAACTCCTTAACAGGTTCTAAAGGTGGCCTGTTGCAAGGCAACATTTTTGCCCCATCCAATATACCCACATATTAAGTGACAGTCTAAATTTACACACTTCATCCTTGTTGGCCTAATGGCAGGGCCTACCTTTTATTAATTATAGCCCCCTACAAATTCAACCTATGCTACTAATTAGCAGAGGCTGTATATAGTTTTTGACCTGTCCGTCAGTCTGTCAGTCAGTTATTTTTGTTTCCAGATGATAACTATAATACTCTTATATATAGGATAGCAACCATACTTGGATATATGGTCACATACAATGAATGGACAATTCCTATTGATTTTGAGGTCACTACAGCCAAACTATAGTTAATAAAAAGTAGCCTGAAATTTATGCAGAAAATTGGTTTACGGATGCTAAATCAATTACTGTATATGGGATTGCAACCATATTTGGATATATGGTCACACATAATGAGAGGAAGATCCCTATTTATTTTGAGGATATTTGTTCAAGGTCAAGGACATAGCTAATAAAAATCAGATGTGACATTAAAGGTTTTCAAATTGTCCACGACAAGTGAAAGTCATTCTTGGGCAAGTATTATAATATAATAATCTGAGGATGATCCCTATTGATTTTGGGGTTACTATGTCCAAGGTCAAGATCATATTTACTGAAAGTATACTGAGATTTACATAGAAGCTTGAAACGTGGTTTCTAAATGCTTAATCAAATACTTCATATTGGATTGCCAGCTTATTTAAGATATATGGTCAGTCACATAAAATGGTCAGTCACATAAAATGGTGGAAAAACCTATTAATTTTGAGGTCATCACACCAAAGGTTTACATCAAAGCTACATATATTAGACTGTAATTTGTGCAGAAAAGTGGTTTCAAATAAGACATGGGATGTCAACCTTACTTGCATATATGGTAACACAAGGGGAAGGTTATTTGTTCACTAGGTCTAAGATCAAGGTCAAAGAAGAGACATTTGTAACACAATATTATTATCTAAATCATAACTGTAAATAATCATAAATTTAAAGATAGCAGAAAAAATGTACCAGCAAGTCAATATAAGCTTTTCTCCTGTATATTTGTGACCTGGGATATAGAGCTTGTTCACTAAAGAATCTTTGCTGTTAAATTTGTTCTCGTCCTTAATTAGCATGAGATATTTGCCACTGGAAATTAAACAAGCAACAAATGTCAATCACAAAATAATATAAACTGAGTGCCAATAGAATTGCAACACCTCATATTCCAAGCTCTCTTTTATCACCTTTTGAATAATACAAAAAATATTCAGACAATGCTTTCCTCAAACATGTACCTTTAAAATTGGTCTTCCATTAGAATCTTGCCATTAGTCCCATAGGAGTTAGAATAACAACTTAAAAATTGTCATCCCAATGTGATCACACTAGAATGAATGCAGATACAATTCTTTTGTGATAACCTTTGCTATAGTGGATCTTTATAGGCCATCTGAAGTGTAAATCTATTTTTTTGTGATAACCTTTGCTATAAAAGTGGATCTTTATAGGCCATTTGAAGTTACAGTAAATCAATGCAGATACAATTGTTTTTGTGATAACCTTTGCTATAGTGGATCTTTATAGGCCATCTGAAGTGTAAATCTAATTTTTTATGATAACCTTTGCTATAAAAGTGGATCTTTATAGGCCATCTGAAGTGTAAATCAATGCAGATACAATTGTTTTTGTGATAACCTTTGCTATAGTGGATCTTTATAGGCCATCTGAAGTGTAAATCAATGCAGATACAATTGTTTTTCTGATAACCTTTGCTATAGTGGATCTTTATAGGCCATCTGAAGTATAAATCAATGCAGATACAATTGTTTTTGTGATAACCTTTGGTATAGTGGATCTTTCTTGGCCATCTGAAGTGTAAGTCAATGCAGATGCAATTGTTTTGTGATAACCTTTGCTATAATGGATCTTTCTAGGCCATCTGAAGTGTAAATCAATGCAGATACAATTGTTTGTGTGATAACCTTTGCTATAGTGGATCTTTATATGCCATCTGAAGTATAAATCAATGCAGATACAATTGTTTTTGTGATAACCTTTGGTATAGTGGATCTTTATAGGCCATCTGAAGGAGTAAATATAATGTTTTGTTGTTGGTGAAAATAAGGAATTTGTTTACGTTAAAGACTGAAAGTTGAAAAGCTTTGAAAACTGATGAAATGTTCAATAGACATATCCTAAATAGTCTTCAAAATTGTAAAATGTATTGGCAGCTTCCAAAGAAGATCTGTCGGTTTGTTGCGTTTCTATTGGCACTCAGTATGTGAGTTGGAAATTTTTTCTTGTGATGATTTTTATTGTATGTGCTTAACCCAACAAATATTAGTTTTGATTGGTTTTCTTAGATAATCTCGTAGTGAATATATTTATTATGCCGATCTGAAAGCCAATACTGGTTCACGATGGAAAATAGATGATTAGATCAGACCCTATTGCAAATACTTAAAAGTACTGCTGGAGAAAGATTGTGCATGGATGATGATATGATAATCTTTGAAATTTCCAAATATTATGCTTGTGTCAATCTGATATTCAATATGGCTTCACTATTTGAATGCAGTTTAATATAAAACCCTTTGGGAATAGCACATAAACGGCCACAACATTGGATGGACTGTTTTACCTCCAGCTTTAAACCTATTCAGGATTACAGCATGTGTATGAAATCTGCTTTGTACTGGACAACAAGTTGGGTTGTGTTAGCTCAATCCAATGTAACGGTCCACAGGAAAATAAGTTATTCCATCCAAATCATTATAGAGCTGTCAACCAGTCTCGCTCATCAATAATGTATTCTTAGCGGATAAGCAGTAAATACCAATTCTATTTTAGTCGTTTGGTTTGACTTTGCTGATGTGTCTTTTCTTAAAAACCAAACCTATGACTGAGGAAAATGAAGTCAATCTAATATTTTAGATGCCGTAGACATTGATCACTAGTCATACAAACAGCTTCTTTGAAACTGATTCACAGATTTGAATGATATAACATTGGGATGATGCTATGGTTTTCCTTTATATTATTTGTGGTTTTGAGCTCATCTGATTACCTAGATGGCTGACATATTTGAAAAAAAAATATACAAATTTAAATTACGTTCACGTTATTCATAGATGATAGTTCTTACTTTAAATGATGTAAGTCATGCCGACTGAAATCCAAGGCAACCTCCACTGAAAATAAATACGCGTTCATTTTGATATCTAGTCATTCAGAGCAAATAAATACGCGTTTATTTTGATATCTAGTCATTCAGAGCAATGATAAAACTTAAAATTTATAGTTTATTTTAAAAGAAATTTATGGAACTTAAATTTTTCGTAAATATTAGAATAACAAGAGAGATTGTAGGGAAGTTAAGCTTTGTTTTATTAGGCTGGTTTCTCGTTATACTTTCGTATTTTCCTCTTTGTTTGTATCTTATAAGCTGAAATAATTTTACTAACTAAAAAAAAAAACGGACCAGGAGCCATGACGTAAAAACTTATATAATGTTCTGGTTAAAGTAAGGACATAAAAAACTGCGCGCAATAAGGAATGGATAGAAAGACAAAAATCTATTCAAACCACGCTCAATGGTCATGTGCCCGTGCGAAGTTCAAGTAGGGAACCTCAATGACAATGGTTTCCTTTCTATATTTTTTTTTCATCGGGAATTTTGTGTTGATGGTAGATTTTTTTTGATAGTCTGTTTAATGCAACGAAAGTTGCAGTATGCGAGGCATAGGGATTACTACCCGGCGGCGGCGTCAATTATTTGTATGAGCTTTATATTTCAGAAGGTAGAAGACCTGGAAGCTTCATACCTTGTATGCAGATTCCTTATGTTACGAGGTTTCCGTCTGTAACATGTCAAATTATCCTTTGACCTCATTTTCATGGTTCAGCGACTGCTTGAAAAAAATTGTCATGTGAATTTCTTACTTATTACTGGTACTATTATACTAACATATTATGTCCCAGCTTATTATGATTAATAGAGTAACTATATTTGGTATATATGTTCCTTGCAATGTCTTCATTCCTTCAGACAGGGTTACCTGATCTCGACTTCATTTCATGGGTCAGTTATCAAGGTTAAATTACATGATTAGGTCCGTTTCTCATATACTATAAGCAGTTAGGTCAACTATATGTGGTATATGGAATAATTGTAAGGTGTACATGTAGTCCTAGCCGGTATCATTTCACCTTGACCTCATGTTTATGGTTCATTGGTCAAAATGATAAGTTTTTGTGTTTTGGTTTTTCAAATATTAATAGCAATAGGTCAGCTATATTTGGTGTATGGAATAATTGTAAGGTGTAGATGTCTATCTGGCAGGTATCATCTGACCATGACCTCATATTCATGGTTCATTGGTCAATGTTGAGTTTTTGCGTTTGTTCTGTTTTTCAATTACCATAAGCAATAAGTAAACTAAATTTGGTGTGTGGAATAGTAAGGTGTATATGTCTGTCTTACAGGATTTATCTGACCTTTTCCTCATTGTCATGTATCTCTAAAAATGTTAAGTGTATGTGATACTTGTAGTAAACCTTTATCTTTAAGACTTTCAACATAAAATACAGGGTCAGTAAAGCAGGCAAGACATTTCATCGTGTGCACCCTTGTTTGTGTTTTTAGTTGCTGTCTAACA